TCATTTATAAATGAATGAAATGAACAACCCTAGCAACTGGTTTAATTGCCTCTAAGGCAGAGACCAGCAAGGGAAACCTGATTGTTAAAAAAGGAAGTAAAAAATCCTTAAATTTGTTGATGGAATTTTAAGTACTTCCTTTAGTCAACAAATAATTAATTAGTTCTCATTAAGTATGTGCCAGAGAGACAAAAACAAGATGTAGTTTCCATGTTTTAGGAGCTTGCATTAGAGTAGATGGTCCAACTACTCTTTGTCCTCCACAGTACCTAGTGGAAGTCTTGTACATAGATGTCCAGAGTTAATTCACTCAGCAAATACTTGCTGTGTGCCCAGTATGTGCCAGTAGTGGTTGATAGATGATGTCATATCTCCAACCGATTAGTGTTGCTTCTTGAGAATTGCCAATATGTCCATGCTATTCATTGGTTACTGGAAATTGAAATTGGAAAATTGTCTTGCTGTCTTCTGACATATAAATGTATAATGCTTTCCTAATTGAAGAGAAAGGGATTAAGTTCATTGAACTTAACATAGCATTGTAATTTGTTTTTTCATAATGAAAACTTCTGCACTGAAAGATTTTCTTTTTTATTAACTACAGTCTTCTAAAGCATGCTTGTTAAGGAATCTTTTTCCCTTAACTTTAGTGTATCCTACAAATTTTACTGTGGTAGCAAGTTAAACAAAATTTTAAAACAAGATTCAGCCCCCAACTTACCAACTCTTTGTTTCAAATAATTTGATGTTTTAGACCAGTGGTGCTTGACTAAGGGCAATTTTGCACCTGCCATTGATGCCTGTACACCACCAGGACATTTTGTAGTATCTGGAGACATTTTCGATGGTCACGACTGGGTGAGGGGTTACAGGGAGCTGCTGGCATCTAGTGGATAAAGACCAGAGGTGCTGCTAAACATCCTGCAGACAGCCCCCTACAGCCAAGAATTGCCTAACCCAGAATGTCAATGCCACAGTTTAGAAATTTTGTTTTAGATAGTATATTTTGTAGTGAATAGTGAAAATTATATAAACATTATATATAACATGAACACCAAAATATGAGATTAAAAATAAGTCTTTCTTTTTCTTTTTAAATCAGGTTGTCTGTTTTATTCAACAGATGGCTTTTGAGTACTGTCTGTGTGCCAGGAGTTAGGAGTTCTTGATATTTTGAAGACATATGGTCCCAGTTCTCAAAGAGCTCACATTCTAAAAATAGAGATGATATGTAAACTAAAAATTTGCATGATAATATGCTAAGTTTTATAACAGAGCTAAGCAAAAATTAGTTTGCCTTGGGTGCATCAGAGAAGACTTGATGGAGGAGATGAAGCTTGAGTAGTTTGTTGAAATTCTGCTCAAACTTTGAACATTCACTCAGATGCTAATTAAGAAAGGACAGCCCAAGAAGAGGGGACAGCATATGAAAAAGCCTGGAAGCTTGTTAAACAGGAAGAATTGTAGGTAGTTTATTATATGAGGCTGTAGTTTTCGGGAGAGACCTGCTTTAAGAGGGCCTTGAAGCCAAGGAGTTTGGAATTTGTCCTGAGGGCTGGGGTGTGATACAACTAATGACCAGTTTTCAGAAATCATTCTGATGGTTGTATACAGCATGGAGGTGAGAAACCCTTCGGGAGGGTAGTTTAACTGACCCAAAAAGAGGTCATGATGGTCTGAAATAAAACAGAGAAGTCTGATTGTCAGGACTTGGTATGTTGAATGTCTTGAATCCTGTGGGAAGACTGTGGGTAGATAAAGAAGGTAGAAGATGACTTCCACGCTTCATCTTGGGGATTTCATGGATGGTGGAGCCATTAACCAGGGTAGAATAAACATGGGAGGGGGCAGAGCAGATTTGGAGAGTGAGTGATGAAATTTATTTTTAAACGTGTTATTTTTGCAGTATCTGTGGAACATATGGTTTTTGAACTTAATTGAATACATGTCTGATTATGATTATTAGGAATGACACAGAAGAAGTATTGTGACCTAGGAGTAAAGAATTCTAAGTTTGCCAGTGTTGGCTTTTAAGGCCTTGGAAGTATGACTTACTTTTTCATCTGTAATATTTTGAGCATGGTGATGGAAACATACCTTTTAGGGGAGTTGTTATAAGTGACATTGAGCAAAAGAATAAATAATTGACTATTATAAGGCATTTGAAATATTACGTAGTTAAACATTCTGGGGGCTATAGCAATCGTTTACCAAGATAAATGTTTTTATACCCAAGTTAGGTTCCTAAGATCACTCATTTTGATGGCATTTGAATAACACTGGCTGAGTTGCATGGATTGCCTCTGGTGTGGTTTAGATAAGCTTTTGTTGTTTGTTTTAGACTTTTCATTACTCTAGCATGGTTTTTCTCTGCTTTTTGTATTTGAAGAAAACCATTGTCTTGCTGTTTATAACCAAACATCGTGGGCTAAATATTGTTTATACTGCTACTATTACAAAGATAAAATAGATACTGCCTTAAAAGTGTTCACAGAAAATGCATTAGCTAATAAACATGAAAAGAAAAACGATTGTAAAACATTGGCCATTTCTGGGTTGTTTTAATGTTCTTCACTGAGGATTCTCTGTCCATCAACCCTTTGAACAGGAAGCAATATAAGGCTTCTTCTGATTGTTACTACTAACACATTGTAAAGATCTTTTCCCTTTAATCTGTTTAGTACAGGATCTATTTAGTACTGGCCTCTGTCCCAGAATACCATCAGAGTTAAGGCTATTATCCTTTCATTGAGCATTATCCTGGGAAAGTCTTTATAAAATTGAACTCTATTGCACCTGCTGACCTCCTTTTATAAATGAAAAAAGGGTGGGGATGGAGATTATGTTCACTGAATTCAGATGGACCAGTGTGTTTGACAGAATGGACACAAAATGCTTTAGTTAGGGCCTTTTATATTGTGCAAATCGATTCCATCTTGGACTCTGAAAGAAGTAAGTTGACAATTCAGATCAGGAAGTTGATGAGCACGTTGGGTGCTCTGCAGTTACTGGCACCGTTGCTGTTTTTTCACGAGCAATTCTATAATGGGACTCCCCGCCATTACAGAATTAATCTAAAATGTTTCTTGCCATTGCTGTCATGTTTTCTCTAGAAGTGCTATAAATAGAATCTAGTGGCATTATCTTTAAACATGAAAGACTGATTTTACAAGAGTTACATATTAAATATTCATGCTTTACTTAAAAAATTAAGTCATTAAAATGGAAGAGAATGATCAAAAACAGTTTCAGAAACTTAGTTTCTTACTGGGTCTATCTTAAGCTAAAGAACCTTGAGGAACAGTGCCATGTAACTTTCAAATATCTCTTTAAATTTTACACTGTCAAATTACTTGAATAATTTTTATATTAAATAGATGCTACATGTATTTACGTAAACATGCTATTGAGACCCACATATTCAAATACTTAGCAAGTCGGTTTCTGGTTTTGGGGCAGCATTACTGAATTAAATGCAGGTTTGTGGTTTTCTAAAAGTTCTTTCGAGTCAAGGGACAAGATGTAAATGAAATAAAATCTCCCAGTTTTGTTGTCCCAACAAATATTTTTTCTGTATTCCCTTCTAGTTCCTTCTCACATCCTCACATGATGTTTCCATAATTAATTCAATGTTAAAGTCTGCCTCCTCATTATATTTTAAACATTTTCCATGGTGGTACAATGTAAGAGCTCATTATTGCTATAATAAAATGCAAAGCTATTCTACTTATTTTTAATAATAGAGTATTTGACCACATTAGCAACCTACTAAGAACTTCATTTAATGAAATACAGTTTACATGATATAATATAGTAGGTCTCAGCAAAATCAGAACTAAAGCCTATCTCTTTGGTTAATATCTATTGTACAATGAACCTTATAGTATTCTAGTTGCTATATTACAAAGTTAGCAGGTCAGTTAAGTAAGTCGTATCAAGGATTTGGTGTACTGTATCCATCTGAATTTTGTATATTATTTAGATATCTATTAGCCATGTAGTCAGAGAATAACCAATCTAGGGTTGAATTTATACTGTTATAAACTATCTGAAAACTGGGAATCTTCTGATCAATTTACTGATTTTATCAGTTTGTTCAGTTTATTACAGTTGCTGTTTCTTGCCTTTTAAGTAAGAATAAAGTAATGTATTATCTGAATGCATATGTTCTATATGCAATAATGTTAAATATTTGGTAATGGAAAGCATAGGAAAGAGAGATGGCATGTGTCGTGGAAGGTGGGTTTTGTAGTCAAAGAGATCTAGGGTTTAATCCCAACTCTACTGCTCATCCTGGACAAGCTATTTGCCTTATCTCTTAACTTCTATTTTCTCCTCTATAAAGTACACTTAATAATGCCTGCCTAATAGAGTTATAGGAAATGATATAGTAAACAGGTAGGATGAGAGAGAGGCTCACCCCACCAGTGACTTTCTAAGAGTTCCCTGTGTGATCGGAGGAGGGTCAGTCCTACACCCATCCCAACCCTCCCCTCGGAATGAAAAGCTTGTGTGAGGAACAGAACCAGCCTCAGATGGCCTGCTGTCAGCCTATCCCTCAGAAGCCCTGGGTCTGGCAAAAACTCTTGGTTTCTTCAAGAAGAGAATTTTATCATGTTTCTTTTTTTCCTCTGTTTGGAGACATTCCTAGACACAGTTCGGTCAGTTACAATGGAAAATGGACTCTTTAATGAAAAAAAAATGTGTGTATATATGTCATCTTGTACAGAGCCTGACATTTGGCACTCAATATAGGTAATTCTGGTATTTACTGTTATTACCTTTAATATTATTAATTAACATTTGTACCTAAGTTACCAGAGAAGAATCTATTTCAAATGATTGAGGACTGATACTATAGACCAAGTCAGACCTTTATTAATTCTATAATGTTTGAAAGTTCATGCTTGTGTATGTTAACTCAATATTAACCTATAAAATAAAATTGAATTTATTCAGACTCTGTTCTGGTGGCTAACATATAGCTTTTCTTTCCACAGGCTCAGCACTATGCAGCTATGACCTAAAGCCTTCTGAATATACTACGTCTTCAAAAGCTTCTGTTCTTTGCCCCAAACTACCTGTTCCAGCGAGGTAAATTTTATTGTATTTTGTTAACTTGTGACTTTTGTTTTTGTAGATAGATTTTAAATTGTTTATGTTATTCTGAGAGAAGTCACCTGTTGCCCAAGTCCGGTACTTTTACAACAGAATTTTTAAAGTAGTAATAGAAAGACAATGTGAATTTCCTATCATTTTAAAACACACGCATGTGCACAGACACAGGCAAACAACTTTCCTTATTCTCAGATATTTTAAATTTCTCTTAGGGGCTCACTTATTTTTAATGCCATAATTTTTAAGTGTACAAAGCTACTGAATCATTATAAAATCTACAACAAAATTAGAAGCCAGGTCTCACAGTCTTCAAAGATTCTTTGAAGTTGATCATACTAATATAATACTTACCAGGATTATTTCTGAACTTTCTTTGTAAATTTAAAAAAATATTCCAGTGATTATTCTTCATAATTTATTTCAGGCTCTTTTAGGTACATTCTCTAGAATAGGCTATTTGCCACATCTATAATAAGCTGTCTGTCTTATTCAACAAACATTTATTGTTAAGGACCTACTACACATAATGGATACAAAGATGAAATAAGAAATGTTCTTTGTTTGGAAGGATCTCATAGGAGTTATAATAAAGCAAATTTTAAAATTATAAATTGATTTTTTTAAAGAAGGAAATACATTCTCAAGCATTGTAGAATATATCCTCAGAACTAGGTATATAGTATTTGGCACATGTCTGATCTTGAGAACCTCAGTGTGTATCACTAACCATGTATGAGATGAGTACTGCCCAGGAATACTGAATCAAACCACTTTTTATTGTCTCTCAGTATATTACAGAAAGCTATTGGTTAAAGTTTTGGGACTTATCTTAAGATTCGTTTCCTTTGTCTTCCTTATGGGTTACTTTTATTTCATTAACTTGAATTTGAAATTTTTTGTTGAAAAACTGACAAAGGTATATTAGTTTAATTGATTTCCAGCACTTTTAGTCTTGTCAACTTGCTGTTGAAATTGAAATTTAAAGCCTATAGACATAAAAATAGTGTGACTGTTTTAAAAGATACTAAGTAAGAGGGACCTACAAATTATGGGCTTAGACCAATAGTTAGGGAGACTCCATTCATGAAAATTGAGAATGTTAGGGAAGTTGTGATGGTAGAGAAAGGAGGTCCTTTGACTAGAGGATATTATCAACATAAAAACAGGAGAAGTTCTGTTCTCTTTTCTATTCAACTGCTAAAGCCTGTTTTAAATGCATACTTGGAGCATAGAGCCACTATTTTAAGGCATAAACATACTAAAAAAGGTTAACAAAAAGGCTGTGGTGTGAGAATGAAGTTGGTCAGCTCCTGTGTAATACGGGTAGGGTGGGGTTGGGAGCAGTTCACACTGCACATCCTCCACCTCGGAACTATAACTCTATCATGTTGAAAGGACTGCATGTTCCTGGTTATACTGGGTGATCCGGTCTTGGCTGCAGATACATGCATCTCATATGTAGTGTTCTAAGGGCATTCCCTAGGAGACACAACATAGAATTAGGAGCTTGGGTTTTAGAGATGGACACACGGCTTCTAACAAGGTTTTCCACTAATGTCTCAGTAATCCAAGATGCAGTGATGAACCTATTCCATCTGAAAACTGACCAATACTATGTTTATACTGTATTTAAAGATCCTCATGTTTTACTCAACTTAGTATTTTACAGTCTAAGTATCTCATCATTTTTGTCTGAACTCAGCCTGTTGGAAAGTAAAAGAGAAGAAACAGTTGATAGAAGGAAAGCAAATTAGGACCTTGTAAATATCATCATCTAGTATTTGGCAAGTGCAGTGAAAAGATCCAAAAACAAGAATAAATTTGTTTGAATAAAAAACTTAGGACACTACCCTGTTCCACACATCGTATTAGATACCATATCTCCAAAGATGAATAAAATCTAAATAATCTCTGTTCTTAAAAACAGTAGAGGGACTATGCTTTGGTTGACTTTTTTATATACACAAAAAGGACAGCTCTAGGCAAACCTGTGATGCAGGCAAATGGCCCTCAGCATGTTTGCTGTCCTTCTGGGAGCACAGCAGAGGGACAGAAAGAACTAAACTTTGAGTCCAGATAGGCCTGGGGCCGAATTCTTTGCTACCACTTTCTATTTGTCGGTTTAAGCAAGTCTGCTAAGCTCCCAGTAAACCAAGTTTCCTCATAAGTAAAAAGGGAGTATCATTACCTCTCCCATGGAATTGTTGTAAGAATTAAATAAGATAATATGTGTTAAATAGCCATTGTTGTGCTTGGCATTTGGCTTAGGGAGTATTATTTCTCTCAACTTCTAGAGCCTTCGCCTTTCCCCCAAGATTCTTGAGTACCCAGGCACCTTCTGCAGCTGAAAGTAGAGTCCCTTTTAGAGAAAAGCAGTTGTTAACTAATTTGCAGGAAAACACTAGTGCTACATAATTACCAAATGGTTACTATTCCTAAGAGCTTTTGAATTTGAAAAGCAGATGCCTTGAAAAGACCATATTGTATCCACACTGAGAATTCTTATTTCTGACATGCTAAGCATGGTAGCATTAGGGAGTGTAGCCAGCCCTTATACTTAAAATGCTTAAATATTTAGGTATAGCTAGAGAAAACTGCAACACTAGAAACATTACATACATTCAGTTTATTCATCAAATGCTTACTTTGGTACTTCTCGATGCCAGAAAGAATACTAGGTATTGGGGGATTAATAACGTGATATGGAAATGAGAAACTAATAGCCAAGGAAAAAATATTACCTATTCGTATTTTTTAAATGGTGGATTCAAAGTAAAATAACATTTATAAATCATCTGCTGGGTGTCGAGCGCCATATTGAGTTTCTCACATGCATTATCTCATTTAACCATCACTAAAGCCTGTAAGGATATTGTCCCTAGTTTACACATGAGGAAATAGAAGATAAGAGAGGTTAAATGGGTTACCCAAGGCTGCACAACTGATTGTTGGGAATTGGAATTTGAATTAAGATCTTACAAAGTCTATAGCACAGTTAGTTTGAAGGGAGAAAAAAGGAGTATAGGAATGAAAGAAGAGAGAAAAGAAATGAAATATGTGAAAATCCCTGCAAGTTGCCGTTAGATTCTTGATTGCTTATTTTCTGCCTTTGTTGTGCTATAGACATACTGCCAGAACCTTTTTATTGTTATCCTTTATCAAATAAAACTTTTAATTAGGAATCATGTGTAATTGTTTATTTATAACCTGAAGTTTTAAAATAATTGTATGAGACGCAAAACTTCTGCCTTCTCTCACGAAGGCATATGGACAAGAGATATTAGGCATGGTCATCAGAGCTCGTTAACTGTGATAGTGTGGGCTTAAGGGCAAATGGACAATATGTTTGCCAAGGTAAGATACAATTTTCCTACGAGTGGCTAATTTTAAAAAAATATTTAAAAGACTCAGTATAAATTCATTCTGTTCTTGTTGACTATTGTTTCAGTAATGTGAAACAGCATCAGTTCCTAATGGGACGACAGTGACTTAAAGATCCAATATTCTGTGGGCTTCAGAAGGTAGAAAAACTTACTATAAGTAGAATTCTTTATACGTGTCCTCTTAATTGAGAAGCAACAAATTGTGTCACTTAGGTTAGGCACTAAAGTAGAAATGATCTCATATACTAGGTTCTCAGAAGTACTGTTTTCCAAGAGGTATGTAAAATCAGCTAACTCATTTCATCTTAAATTCATTATATCATATGGGATTTAAATGGTAAAATATGAGACAAACCATTTCAATGCCATGGTTACTTAGATTTTTCTAATAAGGAAGTAATTCAAGTATTAAATACTCATGGCTAGCCAAGTTGTTTTTATTTGGGAAAGAGTTGAGTTGAGAAAAAGAGTAACAAAGGAATCTAGTACTTTTTACTTGAAAGCTAAGTATTTAATTTCACTTTTGATACGATGTCCAAATATTCTCTTTTGTTTGCCTTCTATTTCTGATATTCCTTACCACTAAGAGCAGGCTTTGACCATCAGCTATACAGTATAGTTAATCAACTTGTGCTATATTTATACCTTCCAATTTAGAGCTGTCAGGTTTTTGTTTTTTGTTTTTAACTGACATAGATTGAATTATAAGGTAAGGGACTGTGGTTGTTTTGCTCCACTTCTTTGAAGGTTCCTTGTCAAAGTACTCTTTCTAATTGGCCAAGTATTTATATGGTATACAGGTGACTTGACAGGGCAAGTTCAGAGGTGATATTACTCAGCATTTCCTTGTAAATTAAAATGAAAGAGTAGAATTTTAAGAGTATAATCCTATCCTTTTCAAATCATTTATCCTCATTAGCAGTCTGAAAAGGAGAAAAATACTAAAGCTATTGGGCATCCTGCTTCTATTAATGTAGAATCATTAAATTATGGGTGGATATTATTATTATTATTATTATTATTATTATTATTATTATTATTATTATTATTATTATTATTATTAAAAGGCTTGCAGAGGAAGGACTTACTCCTACCCTTTCAGATAGCAGATGGAGGAACTGAGAGAGATATGAAGTGACACGCAGCTGTGAATCACCCAAGGCTTTTGAACCCAAGTTCAGTCTTTTCTTCGTCCTAGATTCCATTCTCTTTTGAAATGATGTGTATTTCTCTGAGGACAAAAATACATCAACGTGCTGTTAGGATATGGGAAGATTTATTAGGTGGAGCTACCTCTGGACAGAGATAAAGTTCACTCATGGTTACATGACTGGATAAAAGGACAGGAGAGCAGGGCCAAGAAAACTGGTGAATATTAAAAACAGTGTATCAGTATCTTTAAGGTGGTTGTACTTAGTGGTCAAGGTTGAGGGCAAGTGAGTTAAACAGAGACAACATCAGAGATGTTAGATAGATCAAGCAGATGCGGATGTAGATAGTCTTGGAGCAAAGGAGGACTTTAGTTTTGAAGGATAGAGAACCAGGCCTATAGTTAAAAATGTGGTTAGAAGTCCTTAGACAGGTACGCTGACAGGGTCAGTATCCAGACAGCATCAGGGTAAAAACAGTTGTAGGTCACCACACAGTTGTCTGTCCCAAATTAGCCTCCGTTGACTAAGAACTTATAGTTAATCTTTTTTTTATTCTTTCCTGTAATATTTCTAAGTAAATCTATTTCATTTAAAAGTATTCTGTAATTTCATATCTTTTCAAAATCATTAGTGAAACCACTTTTGGTTAAAGACCAATGACTTACATACCTGTAATTCAAGCATTACTCAGAATGCTCTAGCTTTCTTCGGTTTCTGACAAAACAGCAAATCTTAACTTTGCATTAACTTGAACCAACACCGTTTTGGAGGAATACACATATATACCCACATATCATAAGAGGTAATTTTTTTAAATGAACATTTAAGTCATATTGTCACATCATTATTTTTAGATACATTTTATTCTGAAGCAGTTAACTAAAGTAAGGTTAGATCTTTAAAATTGTATTATTTTATTGCTCCATGAAGTTTAACAGCATGGAAGATGTTGCTTATTCTTACTGCCGGTGGGGCTCATGTACCAACATTTAAGGAAAACCAACATATAGTTCACTTATGTTCTTACTGTTTTTTGAGGAAGGAACCAGAGATAGTATTTTGCTCTGAGTCATACAAAGTTGCTTTGCTGAAATTAGAAACCTTGGGATTTGGTGTTGAACCATGTAATCTTATTCATCATTTGACCAAAATACAGTGCCAATCAAGAATGAGAACACACTTATATCAGTCCAGTCAAAAATGTTATGTTACAACTGTGACTGATAGTCCTACAAATGATTCTAGAAATATGGGATTCATGTTGGTAATGACTAAATTTTACCTTAATACACACATAGGTATGTGTTTGTGCATGGGCACACATAGGGGATCTTTTAGAATCCAAACAAATTACGACTGAGGGCATGTTCATAGAGCTTTGCATTAAATCTCTCATTTGTTAGATGTATACTACCCTGTCAGAAGCCAAAATAGAACGGTGTTATAACAAACCATATTATGTCACAGTTCATACATAGTTATGTTCCTTCACAAGTAAAAGCTGCAGTCAGTATAAGCCTGATATAATTGATTACCTCTTTGGGGGGGCACAAATAATATCATCATCATCATCATAATAGTAATAATAATAATAACAACAACAACAACATATAAGAAGAAAAGAAAATAGCCCAGAATCCCATGACCCTAATAAATCAGAGTTTTTTCATTTGTTTGTAATTTTTTCTGTTCTCTTCTTATGTATATATATCTTTTATACAGAGATACAGTCATCACATTAGATATAAATTTGGGGGTTCTTTTCTTCCCTTTTACTATGATAAGTTTTTCCATACGTTAGTATTCGTAGCTATTGTTTTGAACATCTGCATATTATGCTGTATGTTGATGTCTTGGTATGACTAATTTGTTTGAGAGTTATTAAGCTTGTGCCCCCAAACACTTTGTTTAATCCAAGGTTTTTGTAAGGTGTTCTCATAGAGGAAATACTCTATTAATGCTGACACATTTCAAGCAAAAGCATGTGTCTTTTATTTTTAAATGGCTTATGGCAAAGATTCATTTTCAGTTCAATGAAGTATATGTTTGTAAGTTTTGTCATCTGCCCCTTGATTAAAAGATGTGTAGGCTGAGGAGTTTTTTAAGTGTTTGGTTTTGCTTTTGGTAGTTGTGTATGTCTGTGTATATGTGTGTGTGTGTGTGTTTCTTTTCAGAAGGGGCGGGTAATGTCTTCTGTTGGAATATGCACTCCACCCTCTTTGGTAAGGCTTGTGGTAAGATTTGCATCACGCCCCATGACAGTCATCTTCATAGCATTAGGCTCACAGCTCTTAGCTCCCATATGATGTGTGGAGGGTGGAGTGTATTGCAGTCATATTCACCTTTCATTTGTGCGTTTGATGTGGCATTTATATTAAGTAGGAGTAATTTTTTTTCTGATTTTTTTTTCTTGTGTCACCAGTGCACCTATTCCATTCTTCCATCGCTGTGCTCCTGTGAACATTTCCTGCTATGCCAAGTTTGCAGAGGCCCTGATCACCTTTGTCAGTGACAATAGTGTCTTACACAGGCTGATTAGTGGAGTAATGACCAGCAAAGAAATTATATTGGGACTTTGCTTGTTATCACTAGGTAATTGTTTTTCTCATTATTAGCTATTGCATAGTACTGCAGTAGAAGACTGTTCTGTCCTTTAACCAAAATATGAGTACTGCTGGGGATACTTGTAAATTGCTTAATTTCCCGTAGCCAAAATAATTGTTTCAGATTATATATAGTTATAAATATATACATATTTAAAATATATATAGAGAGAGATATCTGAAACTCATTTCCCTTCTTTTTTGTCTCATTGGAGAAAACTAGTGTTTTCCCAGACTTTGGTTACTAAGTCATAATAACTTTTAATGTGATAATAGGAGGCTTCTTTTAATGAAACAAGACCTCTTTGTTTTCCATTATAATTCCAAAAGGCTTACTTGCTTATAAGAAGAGGCCACATATAGAACACAGATTTCTGATAATATTACTTTTGGATTATGTAATTTTTTTTCATTACTACAATTTACAATATCACTGTATTGCTGGAAAAAATTAAGAAATCTCCACTTGCTAGCTGTTGAACTTTTTGGTCAATAAATAGATAATAAAATAAATAAAATCAAATAAATGTTATCTTCAAGATGTGAACTCCCTGTATTATCCTAGAACTATATGCAGCCATATCAGAATTTACAGACTTTTTTTAGTTGGGAGAAGTAAACTGTGATAGAAACCAAACAACTATTTCATTATATAAGTAAAATGAGTATTTAATGCCTGTTAACACCAATTATAGTCATTGAGAAGACTAGCTGTATTTCTGTCTTGTCATTAGAGAGTATTTTCTTTTTGCTTAGGTAGTACTTGACTCAGTTGAAATAATGCTGTCCATATGAAAAGCTATTTCTGTGATATTTGAAACGCTCCCATCTGTTTTTGGTTCCCGTACATTTATTGCAAATGTGAGTACCTTAATAATGTTACCTAGTCACAGATCCCAACCATTTATTTGACTTTGCAAGTGACCCAAGGAAACTTGACTATTAGTCTAGCTTTATATAAAAATTATTTGGTTTCTGAACTAGTTGAATACTTTAATCAAGAAAAAAATCCAAACCTAAAAGTAATGCTAATAATGTTGTTAAGCCATTGGAATTCCATTTTTTATTAGAATGGTTCTCTTTTGAGGTTTAAGATCTTTATTCATTTGTTTATGAAGTGAGACTTTGGATAACTAAAAATGAACAAATTATGATTTCAGAAATGAATTTCCCCATGCAAGGGTTGAATCTCAGTTTGAGATTTTCACTCAAGATTTTGGCATGTTGGAATTTAGCTTGGGATGGGTAGAGGAGTTGGCTAACTAACTCAGACTAAGCTTTGCTCCTTTTTGAAGCGCTTCTCTATCAGGACCCCTGACCCCAGTTGAGAAGTAAGGTCAGAGGAATTTTGGCTCCAGAGTATTGCTCTATAGAGTCAGACCATCTCTTAGAGTTTTACAGGAGAAACAACCAAAGAAAGATAAATACCATCTAGCTTGTTGATTGAACATCAAAATTGGTCCTGAAATGCATAAATGACTAAAGGAAGTGTAGCGCCTAATTTAACCGATCTCTGTCTACCTGTGGTAATATTTCTGGTCACCACCATGGCATGTCATTTTCTACACTTTGTGTGTTGGCGTATATGTTTGCATGCAAGTTCTGATGTCTTCCTGTGGTGAATCCACAACAGTTCTGTGCTGTTTTTGAGTCACCATGTCCATTTGCATGTATTCTTTTCTGTCGTTTATAAACCCACAGTTACGTGGTTTGGTTTCACGTGATGCTGTTCAAGTGGCACAAATACCAAAGTCAAGTACAAGCAGCCAGTTTCCTTTTTACCTAAATTGGGGTCATGAACTTGTCAATAGCAACAAATTATTTTCCTAGGAGAAAACAATTGAAAGAGAATTTCACTTTTTATTTTCCATTGTTTTCAAATGATATTCTGTGTGTTCTCTATTTATCTTCCCTACAGTTCTGTCCATGATTTTGATGGTGATAATCAGGTATATATCAAGAATACTTGTGTGGATCTTAACAATTCTGGTCATCCTGGGTTCTCTTGGTAAGCTGTTTTTCCTTTGTTTTGTAGTAATTAGAATGGAGAGTTAAAGTTTGCTTTTAACAATGCCTCAATTTTGAACTACTTTGGCTATTTTAAATAATTTTCTTTTTGCTTATAATCTGTAAAGACTGGTAAGTGGATTACATTTAAGTTCGTTCACTGTGAGATCACTAAATCACATAAAATGGCAAGGTAAGTGGCTTTTGGAATAAAAGCAAGTGGAATTATTTTTTTAAAGGTGGCAGGGTTGGGGGCTGCTAACATTTTTCTGTCCGTGTCAGTTTTGGGGGAAAGAGCCCAAGAGAAAAGGAGTCGGTTGAGGCTCTGTTCTGCTTCTTGCTCTGGAATTTTCACTCAATTCTTCCCGTGCTCCGTCCTTGCAAGTGAAGGGACCCTTTCCTTTTATCTTCCACTTTTTTAAGGACTGACTCAACCATTAAGTTGTTGAAGTTCTTTCTGGTTGAAAAATTTTCCTGGCAAGATAACTTTGTGTGTGTGTTTAAAAATTTTATTACTCATTTTTCTGTCTTTTGACATTCTATTTTCCGTTTTTGTTTTAGTGTTTCTGATGAAAACTTCTGGGTTTTCTGTGTTTATTGCCTTTAAAAAATTTCCCCCTACTAATTATAATTGTGATACCTAACTACTTCTGTGGTAGAGAACAGAAATATAAGAATTTTCACCCTTGCTTTGGATGGTATACATTTTATTTTTATTTCTGCAGTTAGTAACCTATACATTTTCAGAAAATATTATTTAATCTAGAATCCTGTAATTAGTAAAGGCTGAAATGAAACGATATTTGTTGAGTTTTCCCCTCCCTCCTTTAAATTTAGCATAAAACTTTCTTTATTGTCAACCCTACTCCCTTCTGCCCACTCCCACTTTTTAGCGCTTATTAAATAGTCAGAGTTTTTTTATTCAGGTTTTTATTAAAGTTAAAATATTATTGACGTACTCCATCTTTTTACTCACAGTTCTGGAGGCTGGGAAGTCCAAGATAGGGCACCAGCAGATTTGCTGTCTGGTGAAGGCCAGCTTCCTGGTTCCAGCCATCTGATTGCTGCGTCATCACAGGGCTGGGTAGGGGAAGGAGCTCTCCGAGATCTCCTTTATAGGGGCACTACTCCCATTCATGGAGGCTCCACTCTTACGACCTAATCGCCTTCAGAGGCCCCACCTCCAAATACTGTTGCATCCGGGACTAGGATTTCAATATATGGGTTTTGAGGAGATGCAAACATTCAGCTCATAACAGACAGAAAACTTTTACAGTAAAAGTAGATTTGAATCCCAGCTCTGCCACGTACCCAGTGTGTGGTATTTGGCATGCTACTGAACTTCCCTAAATTTCAATTTCATCATTTGTAAAGTGGAGCTAATAATACCCACCTAACAGTGTTGTGATTAAATATGGTCATGTCTGTTTGTGCTAATTCCTGGCACAAATTTAAATGTTTAATACATGAAACCTACTGTGGGTGTTGTGAGCAATCTCCTCCTTGATGCCATCACTATTATCTCATTCTATTGTTCGTGAATTTCAGCCTTTCTTTCAACTTTTTATTTTTGTTTGTAGAGAGCATATTTTATTCCACTTTTTGAGAATATTAAATGTTTTCCAAACAGTTTTCTTATACTGTCAAGATTCCAAAATGGAAATAGTATTTCCTTTTCTCTGAAATGTTTTTCATAAACTGATGGTTGTTTTGATGTGTTTACTCATGTTCAACAAGAAAAATTCATGCTTGATGTTTGCCAACAGGTAAAGCTGGAATTCCCTTTGACAATATTCACTCTTGACTTGAGTGCAGATGGCGGTCAGGCTGATTTACACAGATTTCAGACCAGTTGCTTATCTCCCAGGCATCTATCTTGTCCACCTATGTGTACAGCTCTCTACTCTGAATCTTCCGTTTCCTCACCAGCCCTACAAAACCTTCTGTATGATCTGGTGCCCAGCTCCTCCTCTGCTCACATCTTTTACACTTTCTGTGTAGCCCCAGTGGCCTCCTCCTTTCTCTCCTGCCAGGCATGGCCCCAACTCAGCATCTTACATCTTGCTGTTACCTCTTGCCTGGAACACTCTTTTCCTTAGGTAGTTTCATAGACTGCTTTCTCCTTGTCTTTGATTCTTTTGCTCACATGTCACCTCACCCCAGGGAGGCCCTGCCTGCCTAGCTTATATAAACTTGTACCACCTTCCCAACCCCAGCACTTTTATCCCCCTTACTAGGCAGCTTTTTTTTTCTTAGACTTAATATACAATGTTTTACTTGTTTCCTTATTTTTTTTAACATTTTTTATAGAGTTATAGTCATTTTACAATGTTGTGTCAAATTCCAGTGTAGAGCACAATTTTTCAGTTATACATGAACATACATATATTCATTGTCACATCTTTTTTCACTGTGAGCTACCACAAGATCTTGTATATATTTCCCTGTGCTGTACAGTATAATCTTGTTTATCTATTCTACATTTTGAAATCCCCGTCTGTCCCTTTCCACCCCCCACCCCCTTGGCAACCACAAGTTTGTATTCTTTGTCTATGAGTCTGTTTCTGCTTTGTATTTATGTTCTTTTTCTTTTCTTCTTCTTTATTTTTTTTTTAGATTCCACATATGAGCAATCTCATATGGTATTTTTCTTTCTCTTTCTGTCTTACTTCACTTAGAATGACATTCTCCAGGGAGCATCCATGTTGCTGCAAATGGCATTATGTTGTCGGTTTTTATGGCTGAATAGTATTCCATTGCATAAATATACCACATCTTCTTTATCCAGTCATCTGTGATGGACATTTAGGCTGTTTCCATGTCTTGGCTATTGTAAATAGTGCTGCTATGAACATTGGGGTGCTGGTGTCTTTCTGAAGTAGGGTTTCTTCTGGATATATGCCCAGGAGCGGGATTCCTGGGTCATATGGTAAGTCTATTCCTAGTCTTTTGAGGAATTTCCATACTGTTTTCCACAGTGGCTGCACCAAACTGCATTCCCACCAGCAGTGTAGGAGGGTTCCCCTTTCTCCACAGCCTCTCCAGCATTTGTCATTTGTGGACTTTTGAATGATGGCCATTCTGGCTGGTGTGAGGTGATACCTCATCATAGTTTTGATTAATATACAGTGTTTTTACTTATTTCCTTATTTTTTTGTTTCCCCATTAACTATATATGTTCCATAAGAGATGAAGGTGGGGGCTTGGTTTTGTTCACTGCTCTATCCTCAGCACCTAGAACAGTGGATGCTGGAGGCATTCAGAATGTCTGCTGAATGGACTGAATAAAGGCATCTGATGCAGCTCTCTTACATGGAGGCAGGTGGACCTCCCTCTTCAGTCTGGATCTCAGAATCTCTGAACCAGTGATGGAGATAAAAATCCCCATCCCTAGCACTCACTGCTTTCAAGCTATCAAAGATTTCCTGTCTTTGTTCCTACCTTTGGTGGGAACTACTCTTTTGATCTTCATTTACTCATTGTACAGATACTTCCTCAGCTGCATGAGTGTGTCAGCACTAGGCACTGGGGTTACTGTGATGAGTACAACAGAGGAGATCTTTCTCTTCCTCAACTTCATTACTGACTTCTGTGACCCTTCCTTGCTTCCTACAGGCCTAACTTAAACAGGCTCTGAGGCTCTCTTTGTGACCAGTTCCTCTAAGGTGCATCTGTCCTTGCTGGCTCTCTCTCAGCTTATAATAATCAATAAACAATAAACAATAATAATAAATAAAGATAAAAACTTAAACATTAAAAAATAACAAAAATAAACAATAAGAAATACAATTGAAGGAAATTTACTTGATACACTGAAAGATTTATAAGTGCCTAATGTGGAAGATGATAGTGGAGTAACTGGAGTTCCCCTTACACTGGGAAAGAGTTTCAGCCACGCACCTCCCAGCCAAATGGGTTGTTGCTGCATTAGTCCATGGTGGTGTATAAGGAGGGTCCGGAAAATGGAGGGTTTATGTTACACACTTTCTTGTGCTAATTATTGCAAAAACAATTGTTTTTTGCCTCCAGGTGGCACAGGTGTACTGTGGTGGCTGTATGCAAAGCAAAGACGGTCTCCCAAAGAAGCGGTTATCCCTGAACAGCTTCAGATAGCTGAGGACAATCTGCGGGCCCTCCTCATCTATGCCATTTCAGCTACAGTGTTCACGGTGAGCACAGGCCTAGGCGTATCTTTCAGGTTTATGTTTTTATTTACAGATCACTAAGGAAGCAGAAACTCACTCCTAGCTATTACAGGCCAAACCCTGATCCCTGTTAGGTAAAATCTCTGCCCAGAGTGTATGACATACTCAAAAGTCTTCCCTAATTGATAAATGCTATCTGATGTGACATTTTGTTCTGCACTGTCTTTTTTTCTTAAGGGGAAGGGTAATTAAGTTTATTTTTTTAATGGAGGTATTGGGGTTGAACCCAGTACCTTGTGTATGCTAACCATGCACCCTACCACTGAGCAGTACTGCTCTCCTCTGCACTGCCTGCATTTTTGAGAGAGAATTTTCACCTAAAATATTACATTATCATTTTCTAGCAACATATTTCTTACTGTCATAAGATAATGTAATTACTTTTTAAAAAACAATTCTCTTTGCTTATAGAAAAGTATATTAAGAGATAAGCCATGTCATGCCATTCCATTTACTTAGTCACTAATTATTTTCCCATTTTTTTCTTTTAAACTTTTAGCAACATTATTTCAGAAATACAGGTGAACTGTGCCGCCTAGCCACTATACAGTAAAATTATTAATTAACATTTGGTTAAATAATCTACATTCCTATCCTCAGTTTATCTCCTCTCTGAGAAAAGGGGGAAAAAAATCTCAGTCCACTTCTTGGAGCAATCCCAGGCTTTTCATTGAGCATTAGAAATAAAAAATAAAGTCACCATAAAACTGTTGGTGCCAAAAGATACTTGTTTTCTATCATTGTACAAATATTTGCTAATCGTCTTTCAAGTACACTTCTCTGCGCCAGGTGCCAGGGCAGAGTGGGGGGTGATAAAGGGCAAATTTAACAAGGACCCTGCTCTTAAGGTGCTCTAGGTCCAGGAAGGGAGATGAGGTACATGTCTGTCTGCTTTTGTAGTCACGGCATGTGGACTTCCCTGTTTTCAGAGTGACAAGCATATATCTGTTCAAACAAATTAAGAGTCTCATCCTGACGACAAACAACACGTTTTGATTCGTAATGAGTGGAAAAAGTAGAAGAATTCAAGGATGTATTAATAAACTGAGAAATCCTTCTATGTTTAGTTTTAAAGGACATTTTCAATATATAATTTAAAATGATAAATGCTGCAAGAGAGATACAGACCATGAATCATTGAGATTTGGAGAACGATGCTTTCCCATTTAGAAGTGAAGGGTTATGTTAAAATTTTCCACCGTTGTTTAGTTTCTGTTTTTACTGCTGGAAACAGCAGCTAGAACCTTTCCCTCCTTTCTCTCCGTACAGGTTATCTTGTTCCTGATAATGCTGGTCATGCGCAAACGGGTTGCTCTCACCATCGCCTTGTTCCACGTGGCCGGCAAGGTCTTCATTCACTTGCCACTGCTAGTCTTCCAACCCTTTTGGACTTTCTTTGCTCTGGTCCTATTCTGGGTGTACTGGATCATGACACTTCTTTTTCTTGGCACTGCTGGTAAGAAAACATGTTGCTTCTTTCTTTTAGTGATGAATCTGATTTGCATCAAAATACTTTAAGACATCAGAGAGATGTCATTCTTAAGACATTTATGGACCAAGGTCTAATCGCCATGAGAACCAGCAGTGGTTATGGCTTTCAAATAACACATTCCCTGTTTGTGATTTTTAGATCAGCCGAGCACAGTGAGTCTAAACCAGGTAGGGCCTGAAATCACATCCTAGTTTTGTTTTGAGATGGTGGTGGATTTGAAGTAAGCTCCTGTACTGACTCAGACATCTGGATCTGTTCTAAGAGGAACTAATGAATCCAGTGGCGCTCTGGAGTTGCCTCCAACCCTAGTTATGGCCAAAGGTCAACTTGCTTCCTTGGGACTTCCTAGTTTGGAAATGACCTGAAACTAGGTAGAGCTAATGATGATACAGTTCGTAGTCAGATTCTTAGGCCTGCTTGTAGCCATACTTATTATCGAAGGTTATGTCTAAATGAAATTAATTGTGAGGAGTGGTGTAAGGATAGTAAGCTTTTATGTAGGTTCTCTGGCCATTCAGCACATCATCACCAATGGAAAATAATATTAATTTCTATACTTGGCTAATAATTTAGGTCTATAATTATTGGACAGTAATAACCTCTGAAAAAACATTGAAGTGTTTGAAAAGTCATGCCTAAACTAAGTAACTGATAGTGTGGTAAGAACTATATTCAAAAAAGAACAACTTTCAAAAACTGTATATATGCCTTTGAGGAAAACGAAGTGCTCAGTTGTACAGTGTTTGGCTTCACAACTTTTAAAGTGGTAATTATTTTTTTCCCTTAATGAAATAGCACTGTGATCATAAAGTCAGTGGTTTGGGGGTAGGGCATATTGTTGGAAGTCAGATTAATCTCCTACATTTAATAGCCATATTTACTGGTTTATACTTTATGTGCTTCTTTCCTTCCTTGGTATTTTCCTAGGCAGTGCTGTTCAGAATGACCAAGGCTTTGTGGAGTTCAGAGTTTCTGGGCCTCTGCAGTACATGTGGTGGTATCATTTGGTGGGCCTGATTTGGATCAGTGAGTTTATTCTGGCATGTCAGCAGATGACTGTGGCAGGAGCTGTGGTAACCTACTATTTTACTAGGTAAGGATTTATACATGTCAGAAAACTTAATTTGCACCAACATGGATGGACCTAGAGGGTATTATGCTACGTGAAAGAAGTCAGACGGAGAAAGACAAATAACATAGAATTTCACTTGTATATGGAATCCAAAATACAAAGCAGACGAACAGACATAACAAAACAGAAACAGTTTCATAGATACAGAGAACAATCAGGTGGTTGCAAGAGGGGAGAAGGGGGTAAGAGGGGGATGAGTGAAATAGGTGAGGGAGATGAAGAGATGCAGACCTCCAGGTACAAAATAAGCGCGTCACGGGGATGAAGAGCATAGCATGGGGAATACAGTCAGCAATATTATAATAACTTGTATGGTGACAGAGTGTACCTAGACTTACTGTGGTGATCCTTTTGTGCTGTGTAGAATTATTGAATCACTGTGTTATGTATCTAGAACTAACACAGTGTTGTAGGTCGGTTATACTTTAAAAAAAAAAAAGAAAAGAAAACTTAAGATCATTTAAATGATTGTGTCTGAAGGAAATGGAACTGAGGCTGGTAAGACTTCCATTTCTTTAAAAAGTAATTGGAAGTGAATATGACAAAACGTGTAATTGATAATCCTGCAAGGTAGGAAAGTGGGAGGTTGTTATTTCATTTTTTATACTCTCCTGTAACTTTCTCAAAAAATTAGTCAGAATGACAGGTCATAATATAAATTAACTTAGCAGAAGAATAAATCTCATTGTGGTATCTTATATACTTTTGCTTTATATAAAAGTCCATCAAAGGGCACCAAGTCTTTTTTAATTTCTATGGATCAGAACAAGTATTGTGACTTCCTTTCCTAACTTCAGAGCTGAATATACAGTGTAGACTTCATAGTGTTCTGTTAGAATGAGGTGCCAAATCTAGATAGACTATCTTTTTAAGTTCCATCATCTGACTGTACAATTAACCCCATAATTATTTACTAAAAAGATTGGTCAAAGCACAGTTTTATTTAACTTAAAGTATTAGAGCATAAGAACCCTGTGAAACTAGCATAGAGAAATGAAACATTAATTTTATGTGGTACATCTGTGGCATTTGTATTACTTTGTCATTTTGTCATAGAGCTAGAAAAAGAAAAAATGAACTCATTTTTCACTGTATTGGATTCTAAACCATCTCTGGGTTTCCAGCCTGGTCTAGCCTTTAATTGTCTTTTTTCGGTCATTTTTAAAATAGGGATAAAAGGAATTTGCCATTTACACCTATTTTGGCATCAGTGAATCGCCTTATTCGTTATCACCTTGGTACCGTGGCAAAAGGATCTTTCATTATCACATTAGTCAAAATTCCACGAATGATCCTTATGTATATTCACAGTCAGCTCAAAGGAAAGGTAAGGAAAAAAATGTTTCTGGACTTTCTGTGGGCATGTTCCAGACTTCATTTCTGCATGGAGCAAAGCTCCAACGATGTTAAGCCCAAGTGTGAATGTTTTTTTCAAAGTTCCTGCCAAGTAGCACCCATTTCTTCCCCCTTGTCTCCCACCCTTGCACCCTGTACCCTCTGGCAAAATCCGTCTAACCACTGGTTTCCCAAAATGTCCTGTACTTCTCTTCCTCTTTGTGGACTCACCTTCCTCCTTGGAACCTCCTCCCTGCTTTTGACTGTGGAAATAACATGCATTTCAGCATAGCTTAGCTCAAATGCCACCGCCTCCTGGAAACTTTCCCTGACTCCTCTCACCTCCCTAGTGAACTCTCTCTCTCTTCTCCACTCCCATAGCACTAGTATCTGTATTGTATTCTGATTCTAACCTTTGTTATGTTTAGCACTTTCTTCTTTCTCCTACCAGATTATAAGCTCCTTGTTGGTTTTATACACTTTACTCTGTCTTATATGCAATAGGTTACTAAGTCAATGTTGAATTCAACTGATTAAATATAATTCAGCCATTACATTTTGAGGTAACAAAGGGTGAGTGTGGAGGCTTTGAAGCATGAATTGTGATTTTTTTTTAATTTTTATTTTTCTAACATTAGCAATATTCTGTATGATGGTTTGATTCTTTGGCCTTTAATTATTTCAATTTTTCATCCTTTCTAGGAAAATGCTTGTGCTCGATGTGTGCTGAAATCTTGCATTTGTTGCCTTTGGTGTCTTGAAAAGTGCCTAAATTATTTAAATCAGGTAAAATATTTTAAAAATACATCCAACATTCACTTTCAAAGACAGGTTCATTGTTTCTTCTTCCAAGATTGAACTTAGTTAAAAAACGTTTTGTTTTTCTCATGGTGGTGTACATTGTGCCTTGATCAGGTATAGCTATTTCAATCATACTCTTATTTTTAAAAGTAATGTATGTTCTCACCAAGGCTTATTATTAATTAATTATAACACATTGATACAATATCAGGCTTATTATTAATTAATTATAACACATTGATAAAATATCATTAGCATTCATCTTTCAGGAAAGGCACTTATTTCTTATTCCTTAATTCACGTCCTTTCATCTTTGATTTTCTAATATGTGAGCAAAAGTTTAGGGAGAGTGATTCTGAACTAATACGTGACAATTCTCTTGAGGAATCTGAAGTGTTGTGTTATGGAGACTGATGACCACTGGTGCTTCATGTCTCCTGTTTTCATAGGAGTTTTATTTGAAATGAGGTCAACATATTGAAGACATTAGTAAACTTATTGAAGACATTAGAAAACTTCCTGTCATGACAAGTTAAGCATCAGAACCAGTTGCCAGTGGAATCTTTTTAACCCTCGTTCTGTGAAATGTTTCAGAGCTGGGTGGGCACCCATCTGTTTGAAGTTATTTAAGATGGTGGGGATCATGGCGGTACTGAATACCAGAGACTTTTCTAAAATTCAAATTCAAAACAGTTTGGCATAGAAGTATGATCTGCTTGTGCAAGAAGGGGCCCTCTTCTCGTGGTATCCCATACAGTCGGCTCTTGTAAGCTTAGTGCTCACCTAGAGATGAAGCCATAGCTGGCACCAAGATGCTAGAGTCGGCCCACGCCTTTGGTTCTGTCTCCTTTATTTATCATTGCTTTCTGAAAATGAAGTCTGTTTTCCCATACACATAGGAGTGAGTCCACACGTTTATAGCCTTGTTGGAGAAGGTACAGTGGATAATTGGGGGGGGAAGCTGTACAGTAGAGAGAGCCCAGATGTTGAAGATGCATTTCAGTTACCAGCAGTGTAACTGTTTTGCAAGCTCAGTGAAACCTCTTGAGTCTCGATTTCCTTCTTCAGTAAAGGGAGAAAAATATACCTGTCCTCATAGGCTATAGGTAAGGATGAAGTATAGTACAGGTAAATCAACGCTTGGGGCATGTAGCCCTCGTTAGGCACCTCGTCAGTGCTGGTGTCACTCTCCCCCTGCCCCATTTAATGTTTTTTATAAAGAACTCCCATGTTTTACTCTAAGATAAGTGAGCTATGGTAAAGATAATTCAAAAGGTAGTTCTAAGAATGATTCCATTTTCTCTAAAAATAAATGTAATACAAAATACTGAAGAGTTTGGAAAACCGAGACAAGAGCAAAACATCACCTGTGATCTCACCGTGCTAACATAGCACTTACTTTCATTAAAACACTTACTAGCTTTGAGGAGAAGTTTGCAGTATTTCACTTCGGTGTGGAAATGTCTGAGAAGCCCTCATCTGTAAAATGGGGCCAATAATATCGTTTACAGTGCCTGTTACCGTGAGGGTGAAGAGTCCGCCGTGCTTCTAGTATGTGCTTGGACACAGCGAGTCCTCAGTGAGTGGCAAATTTTATACTATAGTACTGGCCACAGTAAGTTTCTTTTACATTTTTATGATGTGCAGCAGTTTTTATTTGGTCTGTTAGGACTTTTCAACTTTTCATTCATGGTTTCTTACTTGGCTTTCATTCTTAAAATGTTTTTCCCCACCTCAAGATCAAATATATTCTAGCATTTTTCCTTAGATTCCTTTAGAGGTTCGTTCTTCCTTTCTTCCTTTCTTCTTCTCTTCTCTCTTTCTCTTTCTCTTTTTCTTTTCTTCCTTTCTTTTTCTTTTCTTTCTTTCTTTCTCTCTCTCTCTTTTTTTTTAAATAAACTCTTTAGTTTATCTGGGATTTAATCAGTGGTCCCAGGACCAGTTAGTGTTCAATCTGTCCTTTCTTCTGCTGTGAAATTTTGGTTTAATCATATATTTAATATATCATACTTACATCTGTCTTTGGATTTTCTTTTCTGTACCATTGATCTGCCTATTCTTCTGCCAGTATTGGAATATTTAATTAGTATAGCTCCATTATATATCTCAAGTACCTTATGATGTGAATCTCATTCTTATTTTTCAAAGATTTCTTATCACCTGTTTACTCTCTAAGATTATCTTTAGAATATTCAGTAGACAACAGTGAAATAATACTACTAATTATAGTACGAGCTAGCATTTATTGAACATTTACTGTGTGCCAGGCAGTGTGGCTCACATTGCTCACATTTCACGTGCAGACTCTCCCATTTGGAGTTCTGTTTTGTGTAGTACTCTTTGAAAATGGTTAACAATGAGTTTGTTAATGGCCCTTTGCATCCTTTGCCTCCTATCCTTTCTTTTGCTTCCACTCCTGAGATCAGCATACAGTCTGAAGTCAAAAGCCTTGAGCAGGACAGGACAACGCAAACCCCTGCAGGGCCAGTTGAGGTCTCCATTACATCACTCATGTAAATGAGTGCAGGTGCAGCAGCCAAGGCCCACAGCAATAGAGAGCGGTAGAGACTGTGGAAAACTGGAGGGCTCATATTCCATCCAAGAGGGCAGTTACTACTTAGCTTTAGTGTACTGTCAGTTTCTAACTCTTCCAGTTTTCTGAGAGAACCCAGAATTCTGAATACCTGCGTTTTATATCCTGCTATTAAAATGTTGACAACTAATAAGAAAGGAATAACTGAGTAAGCCCAAGCAAACATTGTATGGTCTTTGGGCCACACAGTGTGATTTATCGATGAGCCACCAATTTGCTGCCACCGCTTTAGAGAATGTAGAGAACACTAGTAGCAAAGAGTGTTGACATGGGGTGTCGGGGGGAGACTGTAGTATTGTGCAGCACAGTATGAAGTTCCGTAGTCCCAAACCATGCGTTAGTGCCAAACAGCATGGAAAATACAGCTGGCTTCAAAGAAGAGCTTTTGATTTTTTAAATAAGCCATTCAGTATTTATGGCATGGGTGCTAGAGTTTTGCAAATAAACAGAATGAACTGTGAACTGCTCTTTGTTTCTGCAGTTGCATATCTTAATGGCACAGGAAAGTGGTTGTAAGTCAGATCTAACAGATAGAATTCACTTTAGGTAGAGAGATTGTTACGACTAGAATCTGTTTCTTTTGGGCATTGGATTACTCAGGCCTTGGTTTACCTTGACACTGTTTGAAGATGTACATTTAACCCTGAAGAGTATCTGCTCTCTGGATGATAAGCTCTTAAGATTATAAAGCTTTTCTCTACATAGTATGAGTGGGAGTTATTTTTTGAGCACCTACTTAAATCCTTGATGCTACACTAAGCACGTTATATAGATTATTACTTTCTCTCTATAGCTCTGTAAGGAAGGCACATTTCCTCTCTTTTATATATGAGAAAATTGAACCTGGTAGCTTGTGGCAGATCACATGACCTAGGGGTAGAAAAAGTTTTCAGATTTAAGGTTGCCTAGATCTTGTGATGGTAACACATTGCTTCCTACAGTTGACCCTTGAACAACACAGTTTTAAATTGTGTGGGTCTACTTATACACGAATTTTTTCCAATAAATACTACAGTACTGCACAACCCACTGTTGATTGTATCCGTGGGTGCAGGAACCATAGATAAAGACCATAAAGTTATATGCGGATTTTTGCCTGTGTGGAGAGCTGGCATCCTAACTACCCCTCGTTGTTTAAGGGTCACCCTGAATACATGCTTTTGTGCAACTTAAAGAAAACTTATAATAGTTTATTATAGAGAATACAGAAACATTTCAAACTTCCCTGTTTCATGCTGTAAACTAAGACAAGTGATGACTTTAAATACAATATTTAAATTAGGATTTGCAAAGTATTTTTAATTTTTATGCCCCTTAAAAATTGTAAGAATTTAGAACCAAACTCAGTGAAATATTTGATGCAGGTTGAACTCTGTGCCCCCTCGATCCCTCACTCAAAATAAGAAAAGGATTATTTTAGTCACTGTTTCCCTTGTTTAATGTCTAATGATCCACACACAGAGTTGCAAATACCTGTTCCCCCTTTCCTACCATTGCTGTCTAGCTTGCCCCTCTTAAGTGAGTTACTATGTAAAGATTTTCAACTTTAAGAGAAATTCTAGGTTCTTAAGTAAAGAAAAGAATAAAGGTGTGAAAATGTAGAAGCTGTGCTCTGGAACAGGTGGCCACGCAGGCCTGAGTGACCTGCATGGCGACCCTCTGCCCTAACAGATTTTCTTCCACTTGACCAGTACTTTTTCATCATAACCTGTCACACAAAAATGCACACACCAGGGACCACTTGGGCTAACTGGCAGCCTTTTAAACAGATTCCTGGATGGTGATCATCCTTTATCTTGCTTCTGAGAATCGAACAGTCTTTAAGCCTACAGCCTGCCTGAGCAGGTGTTGGGCATGGGTGAAATGTCAATCATCCATTCCTCTCTCTGGGCAGTTCAGCTCAAGATCAGAAAGGCTGTCAGGGAAGAAGGTAGGTGGGCTCTAAGAATCTCAACTAAGAAGTCTGCAGAAAGCTCAGGGAACATTTATTAGGGAAAGCCGCAAAGGGCTCAGAATTTCTTGAGAACCTTGGTGTGAATCCTTTGGACTAAGAGGTATAGAAGCAGAGGGAAATTTCAATGGCCTGTTATGATCTGTAGCACATTGTTCTTCCTGAAGAGGTTGTCTTGACCTTTGTGCATCACATGCAGCTCATCTTCCTGCCTTGGGAGCGGGAGAAAGTTTATGAAATACCCACTTTTTTCAGTTAGGTTGACTATAAAGGAGCTGCGTAGATCTGTAGGAATACTGCCAAGAAGGCTAAATTTCTATGAGCATATCCAACCCTGGAACTATAAGGCATGAAGAAAAGAAATCATTGCTGCCTCCTTTCATGTCTACAAATAAATAGGCTTTTGCTCTAAAAGTAGATGAAATGAGTGGGGCTTGCAGGGTGGGGAGAGAAGAAAGAAGCAGCAGAGGAAGAAGAAGAATTTTCACATAAACTGAAGCTTCTGAAAATTAACAAGAACAACAAAAAACTTTTAGTTTTGAAGCATTGGGCCTGCTTCTGGACTCAGCTGGTCTGTTAAGAGAGGACAGAGATTGGAGATGTGTAGATTCTCTCTTGCTTCTGTGTCTTCTTTCAAGGAAAGTTATGTTCAAACTGGAAAGGGCAGAGCAACATAGTTTAATTGTTAGTCCTCATTGAGGGGGTGGGATTTAAGACAATACCTCATTGATTTAAATGGGTTATCCAATATCTTGGATTCTAGATATTATAATGTTTTTTTACATCAGAGTTAATATCTGTGTTTGTGTGTGTGTGTGTTTATAGTTTGTATACAGAGTATGTATATAGTTAATATGGTAAAGTATTTTCCCCTGAAAACCTATTATCAAATAACTGGTTCATTAGTTTCTGGAGCATGTCCTAGAATACAGGAAGTAGATATTTCTTTTTAGGGAAGTTATATCTCAGATTACCAAAGACATTTGTCAGTTGTTGAACTGAAGAATTAGAGTGAAAAATGCTAAAAGACTGGAAGTTGTGGAGAAGGTTACTAAAAGACTGGAAATGAGTAACTGTGGTTTGTGTTTCAAAAGGGATGAGGGAGTAGGTTCCATAGACCATAAACAAGTTTGTCACTGATCCTTGGCATTACTCTAGAACAGTGATCAGCAAAGTTTTTCTGTAGAGGACCAGACAGTGAATAGTTCTCTGTCACAATTGCTCAGCTCTGCCATCATAACAAGAAAAGAGCCATAAACAAGTGAACATGGCTATGCAGATTTGGCCTATGGATGAAAACCTCTGCTCTAGAATAAATTGGGGGGTTTTTTTGTTTGTTTTCTGTTTTCTTTGGTGAATATGTAAGGAAACTGGTGAGAACTGGGAACTCATCTGGGTTCTTTGAGAATAGATCAGGCTTGGAAAATTCTTCTCTGTCATTTTTCAGCTGAGTTACTGTGACACAAGATCAAAAGTATAGTTCATTTTGATGTCATGAGACATGTGCAGAATGTTTCAAAAGAAGCTTTGTAGAAGACGAAGAAATGTGAACCACTGCAGTTAGGTAGTTAACTCTTCGGTGCCTGCTCTCTTTTAACTGATAAATGAGCAAGCAGCCAATGAATGCTACCAGAAGAACTTAATAGTGTCATTTCTTTAAATTATTGTATATGTTTCTTTAAAATATTGTATATGTTTTGAGATAAGAAGGCCTGCAAACATAATATCATAATATATTGTGATAAGAAGTTACCCCAATCTGTATGATGGAATTTTATATATTAAAATCATACTGTGTTTCTCAAAGAGCACCATAATTTCCTGCTGCTCTATTACTGAAAGAAGTTTATGGGCCACAAGTAGTGGCCCACTCAGCGCAGTACTCTTTCCTTGGCCCTGAAATGTTCTGTGTTGTTAATCAATGAAATTATATCATATCATGGCAGATTAAATTTTTGATGACTCAGACCTCATCTTCATACCAGGTTCCTAATAACTAACAAGCATACAATTGAAACATTCATAAATTAAAGACCCTCTCTCCTAAGCTCAGTGTTTAAAACTTAACAGATAACACAATGCAAAGCAAGCCCTTCATGTCCTGCATGTTTTCCAGCAGCTTCAACATTTTGGCCTCACCAACAATTTAAGTCAGCACTAAACCAAAAATTTCTCAGGACCACAAGTTTTAGTTACAGAGTCTGTATACTTTCCATTCCTAGGACTCAGACATATTTGATGTTATAGTACTTATTCACATTTCCCAGAAAATGCCAATGCTATTCTAGGCTGTAATGTGAAAAAGAAGAGAAAAAAATCAGGGTGACTAGTGGGTCAGAGAAAACACAGGGCAGCAGAAGCAGGTATAATTGAATAAAAGTGTGTCAGCTGGGGACTCAGTACTACAAGGGACAGAAAGCCAGCTCAATCTGGCCCAGAAAAGATAAAAAAGGGTGAGAAGACAGTCGGGGAGGGAGGACAGAGGAGAGATTCTTAGCAATTTATTAGCTTCTATAACTGGAAAGTCCAGAATCTGGCTAGTTCCTGACCATGCAGACATTGTCACCAGGTGTGAGTACCTGGTTTCTCTCTGCTCTGACTTCCATGATGTTAGCCTCACTCTCAGTTTCACGCTGTGACCTCCAGCAGCTCCAGCTACTTCCCATTAGCATTGGCAAAACAGTCATGGCAATGCATACCCTCACACCTCGCTGTCTGGGAAAATAAGAGAGCTACTCTGCCGGGAGCACCTAGGGAAGAGAAAAGCAACTCCTTTATTCCCAGAAGCCCCAGGGAACCGCTTTTACTTTCATTGGCCCTGATTAGTTTATGTGCCAGTCCCTGAACCCTGACTGGCTTACACTGATCAAGGCCCACCCCTAGGGCTGGAGGTTGTGTCAACCTCACTGAGACCCTGAGAGAATGGGAAAGGACTGTTTTCTTAAAGGGGGCTTGAGGTCCTATCCCAGGAAGGAGGGGTATAAAATCAGCAACAAACAGCTGTCTACTACAAGAACCATGAGAGGGGAAAGCATAGAAGGAAGTACCGAGGAGGAGGTAGTAGGTGTTCCAGATGAAACAGCACAGCAATCTGATGCCTTTGTATGTGTGTAGCTTCTAAAGCATCACTGAAATGGTAATAATGCATCACTGATACTTATGGTGATGAACCTGAGATATCTAGGAAAGGTTAAATCATGTTTGACTTACTAAGACAAGGAAGAAGTTAATGGGTGTTGGAAAGGTTTATGTGTGTTTTAATAAATATCAATGTGCTTAAAGGACCAGAACTAGACCAACTGAAAAACTCTCTTTACCCATCTTTTTTTTTATACAAGTGTCTTATGTTTCCTTATGTTTAATCTAAATCTGTACCTCACCAAAGCCATGGGTTTAACTGTGAAATATTTTTATAAGCTATGCTTTAACTATGTTTGGTTTAAATCTTAGAGATTATGTTTATTGAAGAAAAATTGTTTTTGCTTTTGTCCAGAATGCATACACAGCCACAGCTATCAACAGCACCAACTTCTGCACCTCAGCAAAGGATGCCTTTGTCATTCTCGTGGAGAATGCTTTGCGAGTGGCTGCCATCAACACAGTGGGGGATTTCATGTTGTTCCTAGGCAAGGTAAGACCGAGTATATTATCTAAGACATACAGCAAATTTTTGCATATGCATATAGTTGCTCTTTAATTTCAAAAATATATGTAACCTCCCAAAAAACTAAAAGTAATGTAATATAAAGCAAACACTTAACAAAGCCCTTAATATGTGTTAGGCACCGTTCTGAGTACTTTACGTATATTGTGCTCATTTAATCCTTGTAACAAATTTGTAAAGGAAGTTCTATTTTTATGCTCATGTTACAGATGGGAAAACTAAGGCACAGAGTGGTTAAGTAATTTGCCCATGTTTCTCCTTACATAGTTTGAATTAAGAAACAGTCTGTGTAGTGGTTAGGGGTACTGCATCTGGAGCCTGAGTGCCCGAATTTAAATCCTGGCCTGACTAGCTGTGTGCCCTGAGACAGGGCACTTGACCACTTTGTGCCTCAGTTTGCCCATCTATAAAATTGGGATAATACCAGTGCTACATCCCTAGAGCTTGTTAGGGTTAGACTGAGTAATACACGTAGAGTACATAAGGTTGTGCTTGACACATTGCAAGTTCTTGATGAACATTAGCTGTCATCATTACCATGTATAAACCCCTTTAAAATAGAGCTGTTAGGGGATGAGACTTACCCATCCTCAAAAATATCTAGGAGAGGTAATTCTCTACTATTAAAATCTGTAAAATATTAGATGACATTAGAATTGGTGTTCATTGTATCTACATTTTAAACCATTAAATACTCAGGAAATTTGAAAACTTGAGTTAAGAAAAAGACACCACCACTATAACCTAATAACTTATTTTTATACTCCCTCTCAGTGTTTTTTCATAGGCTTATATTCTATGGTATAACAATCCTAGTCTACACATCTGTTTGCTCTGCCCTTTTTGCTTCCCATTGTATCATACATATTTTTCATATTGTTTTGATAATCTTCATGGTTACTCATTATCATGATGGCCAGTATTCCCTCATATGCTATTCTTATTCTCTCTCCACTGAACACTAAGGATACTTCAGCCACTGTGGTTTTAAAATGTTTTTGAAAAGGAAAAAAATATTTGATGTAAGGAAAGGCAGTGACTAGCACAGTGTAGTTTTAAGTTCTCAGGCATCTGTCATCTAAAAAGAATTATAAAACCATACAGATAGTTATTTTGAAAATTTGTAGTTAAACGTACATTACGACTGCTGGATTTGTTTTTGTCTTGTTTTTACAATGAGGACGTTGTTTATGGTAAGAGTGGAATGAATGAATTCATGTTAAGGACTGAGTGGGGTGTCTGGCCCTGTTACTGTCACTGTTATTTATGCGCTTTATGACTAACTCAGGAAGCCTTCAGATTTGTTAATTTTTTACATATTTATAATTCATCCCTACTGCTAGGAAAGATATGAAGCAACTTAAAAACATACATAGACAGAGCAATTAAAATAAAAGAGAACTAAGAAGCCATATAAAGAATAAGGGAGAGAATTATAGCAGGATTGCGATGATGATTTTAGTAAGTCTGATTGAGCCCCTTGCTGGGTGCCAGGTCCTGAGGGGAGTGCTTTGTGTGAAGTGTTATATTTGGTCTTCCCCTGGAAGGTGAGCTACTACTATTATCTTCATTTCACAGCAGAGGAAACCAAAGTTTAGAGAGCTAAGTAGGTTGCCCAAATTTAGAAAACTAAAATGTGGCAGAGCTAGAGTTCAGACTCAGATCTGTGTAACTTCTAAGTGCTGTAATTGCCTCGACTGATGTTAATTCTGTCTCTGGACCTTTTTTTTCCCCTAAAGCCTATGATTCAGTAATTCTGGTGATGGTAAATGACTCCTAGAGATAATTCTAAATATAGGAAAATACAGCATTATTTATAATAGTGACTAAATGTAAACCATCTACTGCCTGACAATAGAGAAATGGTTGGAAATAATAGTTTAATACCTATTAAACCATGTTTTCTATTAAGAATTTATAATATGATAACATGTAGAAGTGGAAAGGCTGAGTAAAACTATTAGACTGTCACAGAACTGTTTTAAAATGTGCATGAAAGAGAAAAAATTAATATCTCAAGATGTTAATAATGATTGTTTTGGGATAGTGAAAGTATTAGTGGAAAAAAATGGAGATGATAAAATACAGTGTTTTGAAATTGGCTTTGAGTTTTTTTAGCAATCTAGTAACCTGTCTGTCAAAATTTTTTCTTAAGGTTTATCATAACTTTTTAGTCACTCAACAAATATTTCTAGAGTGCCTACTAGGAATGGGCTAGGGGGTGTTCTGGGTGCTGGTTATATATTAGTCTAAAAAGAGACTTTAATATCTGGTAGAAAGGGCAATTTTATAGCCTTTTTTTCACTTCGTGTTATGAGCATTTCTCATTTTATTAAAAATGTTTTAAACATGGTCATACAGTTGTATCATTTATTTAACAAAGCCCCTGGTTTTATTTTTACAGTTGAACTTTTCTCAGCTTTTTACTAATATGAAGTGTACTACAGTGAAAATTTTGTATACAAATTCTTGCCCAAATTAATTCTTATTTCCTGAGGCCAGAATCCTAGATGTGGAATTAATGAGTTTGAGTACATAATAGGAATTTGATATGTATTTTCAAGTTGCTTTCCAGAAAAATATAACTTTGAATAATACAATATTTACAATATAAAAATGACTTTTAAAACCATGAAAGATAAACATTTTTTTTAGTTGAGAAATCCAAAGAGGAGAAAAATGAAAGGAGGGGGTGGAAACTTCTGGGTTTCCAACATACTAAGACAAATTCTTTAGTTTTCCTTTTTCAAAAATATAGTTCTGATCACAAATACAATAAATCTTTTGAAGAGTTTCTTTCATTACAATTAAGTGGCTGCTACTACGCAGAAATAGTTTTTGATCAGGTAGTTCAACTAGATAGGGCATAAAAGACAGTGTCAGGAACAAACTATTAATACATGCAACAGCTTGGATGAATCTTGAGGGAATTATGCTGAGGGAAAAATGTGAATCCCAGAAGTATTGTATGATTCTGTGTATGTAACATTCTTGAAATGACAACATTATAGAAATAGAGACCAGATATGTAGTTACCCACTTAGTGATGGGAGGTGGTGGGAAGTAAGGATAGCTTTAAAAAGATGAAGTGAAAGATGCTTGTGATAATGAAAGTGTTTTGCATCATATCAATGCCAGTATCCAAGCTGTAATACTGGACTATAGTTTTGCAAGATGTTACCAACTGAAGGGAACTGGGTAAAGGATACATGGAATCATTCTGCGTTACGTCTTACAACTGCACATGATTTCATGATTATCTCAGAGTTTAAAATTCAATTTTCAAAACCTTGATTTAAAAAAAAAAACATAGTGTCATGGATTCCATTTCTGTGAAGCCCCAATGATTTTATGGAATGATAAATTAGGTTTGGAAGAGACCTTAGTTCCTCTAGTTTGGTGGCTTGTGGCCTGTAGAGTCCTCAAAGGTTAAGAATAAAGATTTAGAAGCTATTTAAACATTTTCAAGTCTAATAGATATTGCATATTTATACCAGTAAAACTATACCAAAAAAAACCTCCAAATCCTAAGTTTCTTTGCTTCTGTGTGAAATTAGTTTACCTGTATTTGATAACACTATGACACTAATTATATGTCCTAGTTGACAGTTTATCTGACTTTGATTAATAAAAAATGAGAATATGAATTATTACTTACAGGTGCTGTTTTATTGGTAAACAAATTCTTTTAAAACATGGGTTCTATGGAGAAAAAGAACATCATAAATACAAGATTTATGATGATTAAAAAAAAGGAAGAAACTCAGATTGCCAGTCACTTTGTTAAATGCTTTCAGAATACTTATTTTAACAATTATGATATCTATGTACTATTGTGTCTCTTTTAAAGATGGAATAACAGGCTCAGTTAAATGAACTTGCTTAGAGTCACAATCCAAGAAGTACTAACTCTGATTCAGTTCTACATCTTTCCTTTTTTTTCCCTTTTTTTTTCGAAGTGTGGTCAGTTAGAATGTGTCAATTTCTAGTGTACAACACAGTGTCCCAGTCATCCATATACATTCATATATTTGTTTTCATATTCTTTTTCATTAAAGGTTATTATAAGATATTGAATATAGTTCTCTGTGCTATACAGAAGAAATTCGGATTTTTTAAACCTATTTTTACATATAGTGGCTAACATTTGCAAATCTCAAACTCCCAATTTTATCCCTTCCCACCCCCTTTTCCCTGGTATCCATAAGATTGTTTACTATGTTTGTGAGTCTGTTTCTGTTTTACAGATGAGTTCATTAGTGTCCTCTTTTTCTTCCTTTTTTTAGATTCCACATATGAATGATATGTGGTATTTTTCTTTCTCTTTCCGGCTTACTTCACTTAGAATGACAATCTCTAGGTCCATCCATGTTGCTGCAAATGGCTTTATTTTATTCTTTTTTATGGCTGAGTAGTATTCCATTGTATAAATATACACAACCTCTTTATCCAATCATCTGTTGATGGACATTTAGGTTGTTTCCATGTCTTGGCTATTATTGTAAACAGTGCTGCTATGAACATTGGGGTGCGTGTATCTTTTAGAATTAGAGAGTTCATTAGGAAGTCCACAAATCATAAATGCTGGAGAGGGTGTGGAGAAAAGGGAACCCTCCTACACTGCTGGTGGGAATGTAGTTTGGTGCAGCCACTGTGGAAAACAGTATGGAGATTCTTCAAAAAACTAAAAATAGACTTAGCATATGATCCAGCAATCCCACTCCTGGGCATATATCTGGAGGGAACTCTAATTTGAAAAGATACATACACCCCAATGTTCTACATCTTTCTGACTTCAAAACTGACATCCTTTTCTTCCTACTTCTCACATCCTACCCTGTGTATGAATCTCTTCTAGTTAAAATTTTTTATCCTTTATAATAAGTGTCTAAACTTTAAAAATTATACATCCACTTACCAAAAAAAAATTTGAGCACACTTCCCAAATATATTTACATTTATCTATTAATGATATATGTATAGATTTTACTAATATGTGCCTTATAAAGTATAAAATAAATTTTTTAATGTATGAGAAATATAAATGGAAGTCCCAAGGGATTGTCTTAAACACTCCCTCAGTTCTATGTTCTCCACCATGGAGATTAGTGATATAAGGCAGTACTTCTTAAAGGCTGTAGACTTTCTCAGAATCACCTGGGGTACTTTTAAAATGAAATTGCTAAGCTTCATCTGAAACCCAGCCACTCAGACTCTATGCAGGCGAGACCCAGAAATGTGCATTATTCACAAACTCCCCAGGTGATTTCTAGCCCCTCTAATAGTTTGAGAACCATTAACATATCCTTTGCTTGAATGAAAGCATGATACCCTTTCATTATATTTGGGAGTAATTACTACATTTCTTTGACTTTTTAAGCTAAATGTCACTAATTTTTGAAGTTGTTTCTCACGTGACAGTCTTCTACCTTGACAGCTTTTGTCTTGGGGTCTACTTTGTCTGAGCCACATCTTCTACCTATAATTGACTTGAATATTTCAAAGGTGGTTTAACTTCTAGTGGCATCGTGAGAGCATAAAGCAGCTCAGTTCTCCCACAGGGTGGATGTAAGAAAATTGAAGAAGAGTATAAGAAATAACTCATTCTAAAATTGAAACCAAAAGAGTGAAAGAAAATAGACCTAATTAGCTATCTGTGGAAATCACCCTGGAAATAAGTCACTGTAAGAGAAGATTCGTAAGTGTATTGCCACAAAAACGGTAGAGGAGGTGAGAAAACCCAGATTTGCTCCCTAAAATCCTCTGAGAGAGGGACCAATTATAGCTCAACCGGTATATCCTCTGATGCATTTTAATTCCTAGTTAAGATGATGGTGAATGAGATGTTCTGGTGTTGATAAATAGTAGGGGAAAGGCAGTTCTCAGTTGCTTGTCCTCAGCACTGGGCAAGGAAAGGCTGCTCTGGTTCCAGAGAACTCTTTCTTTTTCTTTGTTAGGCCAAGTAAGGTGCTAGGCAGGAATGTGTCTAGGATTCAGTATAACCTATTGCTGTGGTCTGTCAGTATCCAAGTAGTTGCTGAATTTTTACCTGGAAAGAGCACTGGAGTTGGCATCATAAGATGTTTTTCGAGTGGTAGCTGCTCTTTATTCTACGCTGTGGCCGTGGACAGGTCAGCTAGCCTCTCTATGCACATTTTCCAATCTATAAAATGAGGGTGATAATGTTTGCCATAAACTATGCACAGGGTTATTGAAAAGCTGAAATAAAAAGTATTAAAAGAACCGTGGTGATGAAGCATCAGGGTAGATGGCGCTTGACAGTGAGCAAAGGGCTCTTTATTTTATTCTTACAGCATGAATGTGCTCAGCAACCTCTTTCTTCACAGACAGTCCAAATCAACACTTCCTGGCAAATCATATTAAATTTACCACATATTCTATATGAAACAAAGAAAAAGCTCTTAGAAATATTTGTTGCAACTTTATTTATATCAAAAAACAATGTAAGTCTCCAAATGTAAGAGGAAGGTTAAATAAATTTAAAATCACCCATAAAATGAAATTATGTAACTGAATACATATTCATGAAACATTTATGATATGTAAATATTAATGAATGATTAGTTTATATTTAAAATGACTTAAATTTAAATGATTAATTTATATAATACTATTTCATATATGTAAAAATGCTTAGAAGAAAATATATAGCAATACCCTGAAATGTCAGTAATTTTCTTTGGAGTGCTAAAAGTGTGTGTAATTTGTTTTCCTAAAATGTATATACATTTATCTTAAAAGTTGCCACAGATGCTAAATAAGTGACATCTTAGGGAACAAGCATAACATTTGGAAAACTGGATTATTTTTAATGTCGACAAGGATGATATTTTATTTCTGTTATATGATGTACATGTATAACTGAGTGTACATAGGTACTTGTGGATTATACTTTCCAATTTGAGGTGAAATGGACTCATACAACCATCATTTATAAATAGGGTTTTAAGTCTGCAGATGAAGAACTAGTGGTTTCCTGCAGTAGGTTATGAACTGTGGTCTTTGTTCTCTTTGCTTCAGGTGCTGATAGTCTGCAGCACAGGTTTGGCTGGGATTATGCTGCTCAACTACCAGCAAGACTACACAGTATGGGTGCTGCCTCTGATCATCGTCTGCCTCTTCGCTTTCCTGGTCGCTCACTGCTTCCTGTCCATTTACGAAATGGTAGTGGATGTGTTATTCTTGTGTTTTGCCGTTGATACAAAATACAATGATGGGAGCCCAGGCAGAGAATTTTATATGGATAAAGTGCTGATGGTAAGTACTTCAAGTGCCCTCCACTGCTTTAAGGATAAAAATACTAATATAACTATTTTGTAAAACATTGTCCATACTTAATTCCTGTTGTATGCAACTGAATAATTCAGAATTAAACCTGTAGCACTCATGAATGAGGTTAGTCTTGGGGAAATAGGGGAAGAAGACCCTCTTGGCATGAAGGAGACCATTTCAAATCCACCATCTGGAACAGGATCCCATCAGTAGTCCTGAGGTGACGCTATTGCACACTGCTCTCCCTGTCTCTGCAGTTAAGCAGATTTGCATTGACCTTTTAGCCCTTGAACTAGAACATCGGACCACTGATGGTCTAAGTGCCTCTTCCTGAGTCAGGGCTCAAAGACTAAAAGTCACGTTTCCCCGGTTGTAGTGCTTAACTTGTATTTCTCCATCCACGTCTTTTCCAAATATTATTGCTGTCAACCCTGATAAAACTCATTATCCTAAGTATGTCAGGCCAAACTGAAGACATTTTGTAATGAATAGAGATTATCAGACCCATTATGGCTGGTAGATTTTGTTGTTTTCCATTAGTCAGGATCTGAACCTTTACACAGATATTTTATTCAGATTCTTTATAGTTACATCGCCCTGCAGCTTCCCTATGTTGGAACCTCAATTAAATTTTTTAAAAAATTTGGAAACCATATTAAAATGGTTTAAATGCTAGTATCAATGTCAAATGCTACCAAATTAAAGATGCTTTTTAATAATAGTACTTTGCTATTCATCTGTGAAGTATTCCTATCTCAAGAATAGGTAATATTGAAGATTAAACATTAGACATTGAAATAACAAGCCATTTTCCAGGAACATGGTTTATCCAGTTAAATATAAAATGTATTAATAAATAAGCTAGATTCTTTTTTTTTTAATCGCAAAAATTCCAAATGATTTAACTGACCTCTTTGGCACTTATTATTGCTTTTACTAAGAACATCACTAACTAAATTTTGGACATTTTCATAATGTCTAAATTATAATCCTAACTGGTTGTTTTCACAGTGGAATTTGGCTTTTGAGCATTGCATCTCTCTTGAATAAGAGAATTTAGAAGGAGAATAAGGCACTTAGAAAGAGGGGTTTGTTTTTGTTTTTTAAGCTACTGATGAAAAGCAGAGTGAAAAATACGATTTTTCTTATTTTAGTTTTCTCTATGAGAATGACGACACTGAATGAAGAAATAGATGCTTCGTAAATTTAGACAGAATAGAAATGTTTCCTTTAGGGCGTAATCCCATTTTAACTACTCCTGACCACTGGTCTGGTTGTTACTCCCTGTCTTCCTGCTTTATGGAGTAATTTCAAGGCCAGGTAGACATTTTTTTAAGGTAGCTTATTTATGGTTTGGTAAAAAACAAAAGTATACCATGCTTAGCAGTATCAGTGCTTTCTCTTACCTTCTAGGGCTATTTTAAAGAGGAGGCTTGTAGAGTAAAATGTTCTTGTCCCATTTAACCATGATATGGAAAAAGTAAAATAACAAAACAATATTCTAAGTGTGGAAAAAATACCTTTTTTGAAGAAACGAAAAGTATTTTCTCTTCCGGATAGAACTAACGTTATCTCTTGGAGCCTAAGTGAGATTATCACAAGGAATGGTGGGGAAAAGATTTTATATCAGCCCATTTCAGTCCATTTCTCCCAGATTTAGCTGCTCTTGTGTGTGTTACCAAGTACTATTTATTGCTGTGTTTTTAGGCCATCCATTTCCCATTATTGAATAGAAAATGTAAATATTCTTTAGAAATCATCTACCAGCTGAAGTCCGAAAGGACCTAAGAATTTATGTAATTCGGTCCCTGTTTTGCAGGAGTTTGTGGAAAACAGCAGGAAAGCAATGAAAGAAGCTGGTAAAGGAGGCGTTGCGGATGCCAGAGAGCTAAAACCGATGGTAGGTGGAGATGAGGAGGTGGCCACCCTCCACGAGTTTCACTTTCACTTCCTCTCTCTCTCTCTCTTCACTGACTGCACTTCTTCGGGAGAAGCGTTTGTGATCTGTATCACTCAGGACGTGCTGCTCTTTCTGTTTGTGTGTTTGCCCATCACTTGGATGGCAGAATTCTTGTCACACCTGAGACCACCTTCTGTAAAAGTAAGCTGAAAGGAACGGTCCTCGTGGCGGGCAGGGGATATTTCTGTCCCGGAGGTGAACTTGCTGTTTCCAGTTTTTCTTCTTTTTAACTGTCAGTGTTTAGTTTTCGTGGGGCCGAACATTTGGTTGTGCACTGGAACTGACGGTTTGATATTTATCATTTTAGAAGTGGTGATATAGCAGTTCCTTTCAACTTGCTGAAATTCATCACCTCCCTTTTTAAAATATTGCTTTGTTTATGTTGCTGTCCTTCCCCTTTGCTGACTTGTTCTTCTGTTGCCTGGATGGTACTTTCTTTGTCTTTTAAGCCAAACAAGGCTATTTCCATCAGTACCCACATTCCCACTCAGCAAGACAATCTGGTCCTCTCCAGCCTCCGTTTAATTGTGAGAAAGATAAATTATCTCTGGTCTATTTATATATATACCACTCTCATTTGAAAAAAGCAACTTAAAGTTAACCAGTGTTGAGAATCCTGAGTAGCTTTCCCCATAGTCTCCCTGCTGCCTAACGACAGATGTCCTTAGCTATATTGGTCTAATTACTGCTTATATTACAAATGTATTGTTCTTAAATAGAATGTTTATTTCAGAATATTATGTAATTGCCTACATCCTTAAATAGTTCATTTAAAATAATGTGCCTTCTAATGGCGTGTAAAGTCCAAAAAAGGGTGAAGTGAGGACTGTCTTTTCTTTCTTCCTTATACTTTAATAAATGGTTTGATTTATAGGTTTCCAATTGAAGAAATCTGTAGTACAAAGCAAGCAAATTTAAGTATGTAAGAACAAAGGAAAGGGTTGATTTTGGGGGTGGGGAGTATATGTACATGCAAAATAGTTGCATATTCAACCTATATTAAAGCCTCAACAGAATGTTTAGATATAAACTCTTCTCTGGATCCCGTCCAATGCCTGTTTGGGTGTTGCTTTTAATAGCATTGATGATGATAAAGTCAAAACTTAAGTGTTTATATTTACAAGGCACAGATCACTCTAATCTTAAGTAAAAGGATGTAGGATGGCCATATACCTCTCTTAGTTTTGAGTGTGCGTCAGCCAGAACTGGCCTGAGAGGGGAAAGGGCGCTAATCACCAGTGCCTCCCATCAGGTTCCCCACCTCCCAGCCCCTTCTTCCTACATCCCTCTTACTTCACGGAGGCTGAGGGAGACGACAGTGGAGACTGTGCCAACCCTAAGGGGGCCTGGAAAAATGAAGGAGGCTCCCTTCTTGCCACTGCTTGCTTGTTCTAATTGTTCAGAAAATAAGGTTCCAAACCTTAAACTTTTAAAAGACATATTCAGTCTTAAAATGTAAACCACCTTTCTCCCCTTTTCTGTCTCTCCAATCTTTGAAGCTTTCATTAAATCATTCTTCAGTGATAAGCATTTAAAGAAAGGGAAAAATATTTGGAGGTTTAGGACTAGCTGCTTTGACCATGAATTGACATGTATTTCTGTATTATTCTTGAGGGAAAGATATTTGAATTGTGGTAGACCAGAATGCAAGTATACCTTCTCTTACCTAAACCCCTAATTCATACATACTAATACTAGGAGAATTACCTAGGTTATATGACTTTCTACCAGAAGCCAAAAATGTAGAAAGTTTTTTTTCCCTAATGTTACTTTCAGTTTCAAATTAATGTCCCTTATCTCAAATAATACATTAAAATCTTCACTCCACTTTTGCTTTTATTTTACATTGTTCATCAGTCTGTTGCTTGCCGGTTAACGGCAAAACCCTCTGACGTGTCTCAAACATCTTTTATGTGCATTGTTCTTCTGGTGCTTTGGACATTGCAGCATTTAGTCCCTAAAAATGATGTTTTAAGTGGTTCAGAAACTCCCCAGGAGAGAAGTGTGACATGTTGCTCACAAGGTAGTTAAGGTTTTTAAGCACCTCATTACCTCTAATTCTTCTGTCTTTCCCAGTGTGCGTGAGTTGACCTCTACCACCACCACCATCTTGTATGTGTCCCTAAAGAATTACCTGAGAACTTCCCTCCTACAGTTTGGGGATTGGTAGAATTGAGGATTGCTTATTTGTACTTGCTTGGTTTAATTCACATATTATTCCCTTAGATGAAAGTTCTGTTAACAGTGTCATAAATATTTTGCTGTATCTGTAGAAACACTGCTGTTTGAGTTCACTGTCTGTCTCCTTCATGGGATATTTTAATATAGGGTTTATTCTTAGCCTATAAAATAATGTTCAGAAAAAATAGGTTCAAAATTTTCCTTTGGCAGGGGATCATTGAACTAAATATAAGTACTTCCCGTTTTCCTCTTCGATTTTTTTGATTTTGATTTTTTTTTTTTTTTTTAGAGAGAGCCTCACTCGCTAAGGCAATTTTGAAGGTTTGTGAGGTCTTTCTATAAATCTTTGAAAATTGTTTTAGAAGAACTTAGCAAACGTGATGTAGAGGCTTAAGAGACATTCTGGCCATCTGCTTGCTCTTGCACGGGAAAAAACGTGCTGAGAAAAGGGAGGAAAACACTTGGGCACTAGAGCAAGGTAGACTAGAGATGTATTCTCTGCATATCTCACAGGTGACCCCGAGGGAAGTGTGGCTTCCCACATTCATAGGAATTTCAGCCCCTGGAATAGAGAGAGGTTCAGGGGAGAAGTATTCTCAGTCCATTTCGCTGTATTGCTGTTTGTGACCATCTGTGTATTTGTAACATCATTCATGATCTCCTTTTAATGGTAATTGTCTAAGATTATACTCTGTATGACTTTGTTTTCTAGGCTTCGGGAGCAAGTTCTGCTTGAACCTAGCCGACCGTTATGGAACCCATTGACATTCCAAAACAATATATACACATAACTATGTATTTGTGTGTGTGGCTGTGTGTATATATGTATATGTATGTGTGTATGTATATGTATATGTATATACACACACACACATAATCAGCCAAAATCAGAGAAAAGGAACAGGGATTTAATACCTTTTTTATGCTTATTTTTGTCAAACATGTACTCCTTTCATACGGGTGGCTTTTACAAGGCAACTGCCGTCATTTAATGTTTTCAATTGTAATTGTCTTAATGGAAATGTTAAGATTCATATCTGATTAACATTTTTAATAACTTAGAGGAGATTTTAACTTTAGTTATTTAAATTAGGTAAAAATTATTGTACCGAATTCTCTGTCTAAAGTTTATTCAGGGGTGATTTCCCTGATGTGTGCATAAAATCAAGACCTTATTTTACTGATGCATGAGTCCTGGTGGGACGAGACTAGGCATATGCTTTCAGATAAATAAGGAACTACCCCAATCAGTTTTCCCCAATCAAAGAAGCCATGTCATTTTCCTTTTAGAAACATACCAGTGGACCCCATATGGGAGTTTTCATAATAGCTCATGCGTTTGTCAGCCAACATTAAAAAGTAACCAACTCCTCAGGTATTTGTAGTTTACTCTAATGCTTCTATAAGAGAGTAGGTAAAAAAAGAAAAGGGTAGATAATCTTTCTTATGCAAATTTTTCTTATATTTTGTCTTTCTTTCATTTTTGACGTTAGTAGCATCCTCCACACGTTTGTGTGCCTGATTTGGAAGGACGCTGGGGCTCCCAGCGAGTTTAGCCTTTAAGTTTCTGTGTCTTGGTTTGCAAACTAAGTAATGCTGGGAGGAATTAAAAAGGGAGAGAAACATGGAACACAAAGCATTGAAAATTCCGGTGCTTGGGCTTCTGCTTCAGAGAAACTTCAGTGGCTTAGGGCTAAATGGCCATTTTACTCAAATGCTTGCTATAAAATCTGAAAACATACTGGCAGGTGCTCCTCTCCTTGGCAATTCATTAAGTATCCAGAATTCTACGATGTTTAACTGAAGAATTGGTTAATGTTTTTGATCCTCAAGTGTTGAACGTTCTTTGTGTTTGGGGATGGGTTTCGTGGGATTTTTTTTTTTTAATTCCTGAAGCTTACCAGATATGAATGGCTAATATTCCATTGTTCTGCTTATTGTAATGGTGAATGCTTTAAGAAAAAAAGTGTAATTTGCTAAGAATAATTCATGATCTGTTTATGCGATAACTCCTTTTTGTTACAATTTTTTTAAAAAAAGCTATTTTTGTTAATGTAAAGTAAATATTTCAGAGCAGATTTTTTAAACTTATTGCACTAAATACAGGCTCTGTACAAAAAAAAAAAAAAGCCTCATCATTTTATCATTCCATGGAAGGAGAATCTTTTGAAAGAAAGCATTGCCTCCTACCAGAATTAGACAGTGAATTAGAGCGGTATTATGGAAATGCATAATTAATGTCACTTGGGCTTAATAAGCAGCTGTTTGCTAATGTGCTTCCTTTTAAAGGGTTGGACCTTTAAATTGCTGCAAAAGGTAAATTGTATTTTTTTTTTCCAAGTATCCGTGTTCTTTACTCTAGCTAGGCTAAAATTTGCTAAATGCCTCGGTTTCTTTTCAAAGCTTATGTAATATTTCTGATTTTTCAGAATATTTGCAATAAGACTCTGGTTTTTTTTTTTTTTTTTTTTCATAAGAAACAAGAGTTCATGTCTTGGCAAGATCTCAGAAAATAACATTGTGAGACTAGCTATTTTGAAACAGTAATTCTCCAGAAGTTAACATCTAACATCTGATGTCACTAAATGGTATCATTGTGCTCTTTTATATCGTTTGAAATGGAATAAATATAATTATGGAACTAACAATTATCCAAATAGGCGAGAGAGCAAATCATGTAAGAAAATTCAGAATACCTTCTGTTTCATAGCCACACAGATTTTGGACATTAAGAAACATTGGGAACTAAATTTAGGCTTGGCAAAAGTCTGGAAGATGGGTATCAAAACAGAAGACATTCCAGGAGCTAGTTATTTTAGGAGGTGACCCTCCAAAGTGACCTGATGGAAGTCTTGAATTTGGAAATTAGGTTCTGCTCACTTGGACATCCCAGCACCATGGACGCTTGCTGCTCCCTGTTCCGTTTGCTCGCAGCCTCAGCTATTTGGAAGCCACCAGGAATGCTTTCTAATTATCATTTGCAACTAGAACTGTAATCAGAAAGAAATTTTGTATTTTTGTATAACTTGACTGTGTGCCATTTTATATAACAGGTCCTGTTTTACAAATAAATTTCGTTTTACTAACATTGTGTTTAGAAATTATGATCTATGTGTAACCATGTCGTTTGAGTTCCAAATTAATTGCCAAGCTGTCTCCCCTAAGTGAATATGTGCCATCTAGGCGGATATATGCAGGTATGCATATATATTACACAGGCACACACAGAGAGATATTTGATTTATAGAATATCCCTCTTACGAGCTTCATTCCTTGCTTCCTCTTAGAAGGCCTCAAAGAGGCTTCTGAGCGACATCTGGATGTTTTGAGGTTGTTTGGATAGTCTTGCTGCCGCTTTCATTTGTCACGAGTCATTCTTCAGCTAGTGCTGGGCTGCCTTATTGCTCACTGCCTCCATCTCTGCCCAAGTGAGAAGAATAGATGAAGAGCAGAAATTATCTGTGAAGTATGGTTACCTGAATAACTTTATAAACCATTGACTCTTTGTTGTGGCTTCTCTCTTTTTCTGTGGTGGATCTTCAAAACTATGTTCAGGACTCCCGTCTCCAGAGTTACAGTTAGAATCCTCTGTTGTAAATGAGGATCACGGTGAGCAGAGGCTCGTGATGGTTCCTGCCCATCGGAAAACTAAAGCTCTGGTGCCTGACTGAGACTTTCTGGGCTCCTGCCTCAGGAGTAAGCTCTCCCATATATGATGTGAGAGCGAAGAGGTTATGTTTCAGTATAAATCCAAGAGGCCTGTCTTCTAGGGGAGGCTTACCAATGCGTTAGGTAAACATTAGGAATTTAGACAGTGCACTGAGATTGTATAATCCTTACACGGATGAACAGAGCTCAAAGCAAGTTGTTCCTTTAAACCATTTAATGCAATGTTTAATGTTTAAGGATTAAAGCTTTTATCCTATCCTATAGCATTATTAAGTCCTAAGTTACTGCAAATTTAAGTAGCTTAACTGTGTGTTGGTCTCTGAACTTTTTCCATAATGGTCGGGGAGGGCACTCATTGAGTCTGTTTAAAAATTATGCTGGAAATAAGTCTTTCCTTTGTAGAGATGCTCCCTTCCTCTTACTTTTTCAATGAAGGGCATTAAGCTGTGGATTCTCAAAATCACTAACCTTGGTATCTGCCAAGGGCTCCCTTGTCTTCCCAGGGTAGTTTCAGGTTTTCATCCCAGTATGAGCTAGTGAGGAGTGACCCCTTCCTTTACCGTGGTCCTGAGCTGCTTAAAACCAGAGTAATACTCCTCCCACCCTCTTCCTGAAAACAGCTATGGAAGCTACAGGCACCAAATATTTGTGAGGCCATGTTAGTGCCCCCAAGGCCTCAGCCATGTCCACCAGGCACTTACTACTAGGCAGTGAAGGCCGTTCAGGAGGTCTCCTGGCCTGCAAAGTAGAATTCTGGGGTCCGTTCCAATACTAGAGCTGCCAGTTATGGTGACCTGAACATTGTATTTTATTTTTGGTCAGTAACCTCACTTGAATTTTTGGAGTTTCTAGTAGCCTTAACATAGCCTTTGAGAAGTTTCCTTCAGAAAGATCTTTATAAGCTTTTACCTTTCAATAAGTTCTCTATGGCTTTTTCTTTTTTTTTTTACTACCACTTAAGAAAACAAAAACAAAATCTCAAGAGTCTGGTGGCTTATCAGTGTACCTGCCACAGTGAATTTCTGTATTCTTTTGATATATTCCATCTGACAGATAAAAGTGCACACTAATGGCTTGCCTAGAGTTGTTAAGATGTGGTCTGTGAATATATATTGGAAAACTGTGGGTTCAGAAGTAAATGCATAAAGCAGAGCTTTGTGTATTATATATTCACCATGTAGAATGCCTTTTGCTTTAAATGCATATTCATGTATCCATGTACTAAGGAGTACATGTTAGCCCATTTGAAAAGCAGGCGCTCTGTATGTACAGGGGCTGCTTTCAGAATTAGCTCATCTGTTTAATGGCACACAGCCCAGACTGTGAAAGAGCAGGGCCCTTGAATGTGCCAGGAGAAAACGGGAAGCTAGCAAACATAGACAACAAAATTAAAGAGTAAACATGTTGTCTACACCTAAAAATTTAAAATAGCACACTTCTCCCCCATTCACATTTCATAAATTTGAGCCAAATTCTTACTCTCCAAGTTTTCATTTACGAGGAAAATTTTCATCCAAGATTGAAATCTCTGAAAATTCTTTCTTATAAAAAAACTTCAATGCAAAGTTTTTAAACTTGAGAATTTCTGTGGAAAACCTTTCTTTCCTAAAGAAATACTAGAGGACCCTTTCTTACTTCCCATGTCCTTGATTTTTTATACGTGTAAAAAAAGACCAATGTTGCTTCCATTTCAATATCACATAAACAGTTATCACTTTTGTAAATTAAATGGGCAGGATTTAAGGTTGATATGTTCTTAAGGAATTCATTAGTAAATTTGTGGAAAAGACGTGAAATTGTTAGAGACCCAAATATTAGGCTATTTTACTCAGTTCTGACACTCAGTTTTACAACTTAAATGATTTCCTGAGGAATAAACACTGTAGACTAGGGAATTCAGAGTAGTAAAGCTTTCAGGTTATTCGTGGTCTAGTCAAGATCTAGTTGAGCATGAAAATGTTGTAATTTCCAAGTGTTTCAGAAACTTTTCACTTTTATTTGCTAAGACCTGGATTTAATATTTGATATTCAAAAGCAGGTTCTTAATCTTTTGAGGGGACCAAGGGCTCCTTTGAGAAAGCTTATAGGAGCAATGGACTATCTTTCAAAATCACATAGCCTACCTATGAACATTTAAAGTACGAATAGAATTTCAGGGCCCTCAGACTGCCAGCCTTCACCCCACCGTCCTGTCCCCTCAGGAACCTGTGAACACAAGTCAGAGGCTGCTGTAAAGCTGGCTTGATAATGTGTTTTGAAATGAAGTCGTGACTGGGCCTCCACTGAAGATGGTACTTACCCACTTCAGACAGGGAGTCATTTTTGTAACTTGAAAACTTGAATTTAGTACCAGCTAAATGAAACCACACTAATCTAAATGAATACCAGAACGGTCATCACTGGATCTTTAAAAACGATAAGATTTCTTTCCTTGGAGATGTGAGGATGTGTGTGTCCTGGGATGAATTTTTGATTAGATACCAAAGTATTTGCAATGGACAAGAAAATCCAAGGAGAAATGAATAGGGAATCTCTGTAATTCTCCATCTACCAAAACATTTGATTATAATTGTCGCTCACATATGACATCTATGACATAGTGTTATCGGTAGATCACTGTCTAAAAATGTATCAGTCAAGGTTGACTGAGAGCATTCGAAGATGATGATAAAGTAGCAAACTCAGTGTAGTTCATAGCTGACAAAAATTTTCTTAGTGGAAAGCAGATGCCGGGATCGGGGGGAGAAATTCAAAAGTTTTTCTCCTTGTATAAATCAGGGAGGTGTTTCCTCCTGTTTTGAGTGTTTTCCAATCAGCACTAGAGCAGCCTTAGACCACTGCCCTTGGGCCTGTGTCTCCACTCCCCACATCCAGCTCACCTTCCTTCTTTAGGGAGCATGTGGATTTCTTCACATTTACACCTTAGTATTAGGTAAGGGTGCTGCTTCTATAAGAGGGCTGTCTGGGCCCTTGAAAAGGCAGGTAGACATCCTTAAAGGAGTTTGAAGATTTTTAAAGATTTGATCCCAGTGGGTCATGACTTAAGAGTCTGACATCAAACCGTTATCTACATTTTCAAGCTGAAGAAAGCAGTGGAAATGTCATAATTGGCTAGTGAAGGAAGTAGAAATAAAAGTCGGCTCCCCTGCCCACCCCACATCCCCAGAAGAGCTTTAGCGAGCCTTCCACAGTAGCAGAAGGAGAGACCACGGGTGGAAGTTCCCATCTTGGGTTGAAAAGGGCCTAAGTCCAGTGTAAGTACTACCTTTAATAATGTCTTTTTGTCATGGAAGTGTATCACCCAAGGAAACGTCCTGACTTTCACATACGAATCTGATCCACCCATCCCATCAGCTGGGGCATTGGTTTGATTTAGCTATTTTTTGAGGAATATGTGTCAAACCATTCCATGTGAGCAAAGTGAGCATTGGAAGGAAGACTTGAGGAATAAATGGGCACAGCATCCTGCAGACCATTCTCACTGCCACTAGACAATGTGAGCACTCACTTCGTTTACTTCGTTTAGGTAATTCGTAGGAATGAAACAATAACCGGACAGCTTTGGGACTGATGGTTCGAGTGAATTTTCCCCATCCTCTGGGTTCTAGTAGTGTGTGCTCAGAACTTCCTTTTGGCCCTCTTGTTTTTGCTCTTTTTGACTGTTCTGATTTTCAAAGACATCATGGGGGGAAATCAGCTTTCTTCTACTATATTGCCTTAGTGCTAGTAGATTCTGTTGTCATTGAGTTTTTCTGATTTCTTCCATCCTAAGAGGATACTGGGAACTCCATAGTGAAGTTTCAGTTATACTGTCTCAGAATATTCGTGACCACTGAACACACTTCTAGTAGATGAAGTAAATTCAGCTGGGGTCTTAGCTGATTCAGTTTGTTACAAATAACAAACAGGTAGGGAAAAAAGTGTGGAGGGCACCTAACAAAATGATAGGGGACCTGGGAAAACAACCAAAGACAAAAGCATATCTTCTGAAGACCAAAGGTCCAACTTTAAGTACTTCCTGGCACGACCCTTCTGAACTCCTAAGTCTAGAGCAGGCTCCTAGAATAAAGCAGCCGAGTTTTAAAGATCAGTCAATGCAAAGGGACCTGCTATCCATCTCTCAGGCTCTGAGTCTTCACATCCACTGTCAGATCCAGCCCAGTGTATGGAGGGGATAGGAACAGAAAACACCCACCACTGTGTTTCAGCTTCTCACTGCTGTGGAATCCAGCATAAGAAGGATGTTGTGATGCCGCATATTTCTCAAACTGATGCCTATTTTGTCTGTTTATTTTATTTGGGGTTTTTTTTTTGGAGGGGGGTTCCATTTGCATCCTATTTCATAGTGTCAAAATGAATTTTTGTATCATGTCCTGTCTTTGCCCATGATGAACTGTAGGATCACGGTTAAGCCTTCCATGAATTCCCTAGTTTGGGATCTTTCACCCTAGCATTATTCTGAGTTTTTCCTTATTATTATTTCCTTATTACAGTGTCACTACACTGTCTTCAGTTGGGAAAACAAACATGTAGGTGCTTGAACATGCCCCACAGACACAGTCGTAGCCCTAGTATTTGTGACTGTCTCTTGACACAGTGCAGACTTTACAAACAGAGTGTTATGCTCTCAGAGGACTTTAAAAATATGTATATTAAGCAATTAACTTTCTGGAGTTATCAAATCTTGCTGGGAAATTAACTTCCAAGAGCTCTGAATTGGGTGGAATTCCATCTCGCTTCAGAGTACAATGAGCCTATATGAAATGGAGCTTTGAAATGTTTTCCTTGTGCAGAAATATGAACTAGAAAAAAAAAGTGCTGATCTAATGCTAAGTTTCCTGTGTACTGACTCAGTTGCCAGAATTATAATGAAAACTGTATTTTAGTCTAACAAATGTATAGAATTTTTTTATGTAATAAATAAAATTTTATAGGAAAGAATGTCATTGTCTACTGTGTCTTAACACTTTCCCATGCCCAGGGTGGTGATGAATAGTGTAAGAGAGGAAACATAATTGTCCCCCCTGCCCTTCTGAATTCTTAGCCGAGATTCTGTAATAGAAGACAGGTAAATGAGAGGAAAACACACAGAAGCTTATTAACATGTATACCGCATGTATCCATGGGAGAGACCCGGTGGGGAAAATGAGTCTCTCCTCTCAGTGACCTAGAATGCAAACTTAAACACCATCCTCTTACGGAAAGGGGAGGGAGGATGTTGGCTTCTTAAGGGAGAGTAAATGATTTTTAGGAAAGATGAATGGACCCTTAGAAGAATAGATGGGAGTTATGATACTTTGTGACAAAGTATGTCTGGGTGTGGTGTCGACTTCTAGTCTCTTCGGTGATAAGAGTCAGTCTTCCCTGGTTGATGAAACTCCTGAGAAGGGGATTGATGACATTTGAGTTCTTTGGGGAGGATCTGTCTAGGGAGATAAGGAGACTTCAGAGAAAACCTCTCCCTGTATTTGCTGTTTTTCAAGTGCCTACAGCTCAAAATCATCAATATACCAAAGCAGCATTTTTTTGAGGTGAACTCCGGCAGTCGGTCATATTTTGGGGGTGGCGTTCTCTGCTACTTTGCAGTAGAAAGTGATTGTGGGCAACATCTTGGTTTCAGATGAAGTTGATATGCTGCCAGGGTGCCCTAGGGTTTCCCAGCTATGTCTTTCTAGCATTTCTCAGCATCTTCTAGGATCCCTGAAGTATGAAGCATAAAGGTACTAAATAAAACCTAATTTCTGAAGTACAGAGTTCTTCCACTGTCTGGCCAGACTTCCTAGCTGGAGGCTAGCTGTGAATGCTAAGGTTGCAACTGAATTCAGTCATCAAGCAGAGTGGAAAAGCCTGTCAGATAACGTTTACCATGGAAAACTCACGCTTGGTGCAGTGCCCTGCACGTAAATTGAAGCCTGGATCTGTGCTAAGCTGGTGAGTTTGTGAAACTGAGGTGAGCCGTAATGTAGGCAGTAGCTGCACTCCCGTGAAAGATGGGAAAAATCAAGCTTATTTAAAATGAATCCTACTTTAAATGATACTGAGGACTAAGGAAGGGGTGTTCTTCAGTGGAAGACCTTTTGCAATCCCAATAAATCTCTCCCAGTTGGTTTTGTAATTTTGGATGTTTCTTGCCAGGCTGCTGTATAGACTGCTTTTCGTTAGCAAATGTAATGCCCAGGTCACAGCCCTACTGGTTCATCTGTACCACCTGGCCAGAAGCTGTTGTGGAACATTGGTGGGGCGTCCTCAGACACTACAGGTGTTTTGAGATATTGAAAAATATTAACCAATCTGGACTGTTAATTCGTTTTGGGGGCATGGTTCTGATGCAGATGTACACAGTTTCTTGGCAAAGAGACCACCTGGTGATTGAAGAGCCTGTGAAAAGACTCACATCTCCTGAAAGGTCCCCAGAGATCTTTTCTCTCTGTTTGGCTGTGAAAAGTATAGTCTGTATTCAACCTCCAATTCTAGAAAATAAAGAAAAATCTAGAGGGTTTCTTTTAGGAGGCATACTGCTTGTGCACTCTGGGAGAATATACAAGTTGTAATTGAAATTTCAGCTTCAAATAGTGCTCAAAGCTCCTGCTGGTGTTGAAAGGTTCAGAAAGAAGCCAGCATCTGATGAGACCCTTTGGCCTCGTATCTTTGACCAGATGTTGTGAAACTAACCCATGAGGCCAGGCCTATTCGCGTTATAAGTTTTTTTTCAGTCATGGCAAGTAACAGTGAAAGTAAGAAATACTTTGTGCCTTTAGTTTGATATGATGCCTTGTTTCCTGTCCAAATCCTGAGAAAAGTAACTTTAGAAGATGTACCTAGGTTACATTTGGGAGTCCGGAAAACGCAGAGCTAAGCGATTAGACCATTTCCTGGGCTTGTCAGCAATTTCAGCAGAAGTCTGAAAGCTCTCTAGGTAGTTATCAGCTCCCTGGCCAGGTCTGTCAGACCAGAGAGGAGACAGTAAGGAACGGCCGTCCAGGCAAAACAAAAGGGTTTTCAGTCAACCAAACTCAAACTATCACCTCACACTTGGAGACAGGGTATTAGGGGATTGTGTTTCATCCACTCTCCATCTGCCAGAAGGGATTCTCACAGCTTACACCAAAAACCAATGTTAACACAAAATAATTTTTTTTTAAAAAAGGTGTGTGAAAATTGAGAAAAGGAGATAAGCTGTATAAGGAACCTTAGGCTGGGCATAAGACTCACTCCGTCTCCTGTCAGTCCCGTGAAGAGGAAATCAAGAAAGGTACATAGTTTTAAATGTCAAATAAAAGGAAACATTAAATAGAACGTTAGCACGGGGGACTGAGCAGGCATTAAAAATATTGTAATCTTTAATGACATGGAATAGTGTCTGCAATATAGTCAATGGAAAGGAGGATAAAGCAGTATTTATAGCATGATCTCATTTATGTAAAATCAATATTTTAATATATTTTTTTAATGATTGAAGGTATAGTACATGCTCTCTTAACCAATTCTGAAGGCACTGGTAGTTGATCGATTAATTAAAAAATTTGGTTAAGGAGGAGAATCGTTATAAATGAAATGTTTTTTAAAACTACCAGTAAATAATCATTGGCCAGTCTTTGACATAGATATTAGTTCTATTTATGACTCTTTGAGTTCTGAAGTTGTCTATTGTCTTTTGGGGGGGCATTAAACACCCCAATAATGTAATCATCAAAATGTACTAATGTGAAATATTGATTTCTTGATGCATTAGGAATTTAGAGGTGCTAATTATGAAGCCAGCTGAGTTTAGACTGCTAGGTTTTTATCTTTTCTTTCCAATGTTTATAATTCTCATGCAAACATAATTCAAGAGTAATATTTTTAGTATCATATCTTTATGGAGTCTAAGCATTTAAGTTAGTTTTCATAGAAATTACTCTCTTCATACTCATTGTTTCTCTCCATATACATAATATCTAAATAATCATACCATATGAATAACCACTGCACCTGGCATAATATGTTGGCATAAACACACCCTACTCTTGCTTTGTCTGCTAATGCTGAGAACAGAGTGCATAGGCCCCTCCCGGGACCATTCAGTCTGCTGTGGGCGTCAGCCAGCCCATCCTACAGAGGATTGGAGGATGTCAGTTAATCTGGCAAGATGGTTAAGTGGAAGTCAGCTAAGAAAGCCACCCTTTTTACATCAAAATGATAATTATGGTTATCTCTGTGATAGGGATTATGGTAATTTAATTTTTTTCTTTGCTTATCTGTATATTTAAAATATTCCTCTATAGTTGTTTTTTTTAACTGAAGTAACCTCTGTAGTTTTTTTTAACATGAAAAAATATTAAGTTAAAAAGCAAATATCCAGGTAATTATAATAAAATGACAGTAACTAAACCCATGTGATAATAGGCCAATAGAGTAAGAAGAGAAAGTCCTCATAACAAATTCTATTATTTATAAGAATTTAATAAAAGCTAAGGCTATACCTCAAATGAATAAGAAAAGAAAGAATTCATTTAGTAAATGGTGTTTAGGACTTTCAGGTTGAAAACAAATCAAAGTCAAATCCAAATGGATTAAGGAATTTTTTTTTTAATTAGACAAGGAGAAGGTCAGGGGAAGGAGTGGGGAGGACTTAGAACTAGGTGGGAGTTGGTGAGGTCCGCGTCTCACATTTTGTGGAAAATGTGATGAGTGAGGCCCACTGCAGATGCATTTACAGCCGTGTGGTGAGCGTATCCATTCCCACTCAAAAAACATTTCCTGAGACCGCCTCTGGTCAGAGAGCTTTATATTCTGGGAACTCAGTGGTAAATATGCACTCCCTGATCTTAAGTAGCCTAATGAAGGAGACAGCAGTGAGCATGCTCCGGGAGCACATAAGGAGGTGTGGAGTTATTACGAGAAGCCGTCTGGGCTGAGTCTTGAAGGATGAGCAGGAATTAGCCAGATGATGAAAGGGCAGGAAGGAGGAAGGGAGAATATTCTACCCAGAGGAAGAGCGTGGGCAAATCAGCGCCACGAGGAAACCCCGGATGTTTAGAAAATCCAGAGCTAAGAACACGTGGATGGGCAGCAAGAGGTGACCCTGGAGAGGGTGTGGGAGCTTTGCACGTGCGTTCCGACCTAAACTGAGAGTTGTCAAGAGCCTGTGACAGGATCTGAAGAGAAACCTAAAAGAGGGAGACTTGGGAGAGACAGCGAAGGGGGAAGAGGAAGATCCCTGTGGGACACGTGCAGACTTGGTGGTGATTAGCCCTGGGGAAAGGGAAGAGAGATGGCGGAAGCCTAGGCTCAGCGTGGGGCATTCACTCCTTCATTTAAAGATGGGGGCTTGCACCAGGTTGTCAGGTTCACCCGGTTTCTGATTCTGTGATTCACAGAATAGTGGAAATGTTTACCTTTTCTTCTCAGGGCTGTCTGATGCAAAATATCTATAATGATAAGTAGGAGGCAGTTGGAGAAGAGTTTGAGGGCCTGAAAATATTGCCCTGTGCCACCAAATTTTTTTTTCATTCCTTGATGAATGAGATCTACTTAATTTCTGGTCTTCATTTAAGAGACCCCAACCTAACAGTGGCTTGTACAGCTTAGGTGACTGCAGACAAATTTTTCCTCAATGGCTCTAACTCTGATCTTCCGCATTGTCACCTTAATCATCTCTGTGCTTCTGTGCTAAGAAACACATACAATGTATTTTTAGTGTATATATATTTACATATTTATGCTCACTTTTTTTCCAAACAGGCTTACATACAATTAGTTTATTTGACACAAACAGGAAGACCCAAATAGGCTAAACTCAAGGACTAATATGGTTACAAGACAATGAAGCATTAAATACTTTGAGCTTCCTAACAACCTAAATAAAGGACAGCACCACGATTTATAGAATGTTACCCTTTGACGGAAGAAGGTGTATGCATCATTCAAGTTAATGTGGAAACAAAATTAATCTGCATGTG